CTTTATCGAATGCAGCCCGCCTTTCCCCCTCCTTCACCTTGTCAGCCAGTGCCTTTCCATCTAGGCCAGGGTATTTTGCCCGAATCTGTTCATAGACGCTGTCTTCTTGGGTGGGCGGTACTATCTTGGGAATAGTGTACCCCTTACTCTGTGGTACCCCTTTTCCCTCCACCTTGGAGCCCCCCCCCTTCCTTGACTCTTCCCTTTTTCCCTTCTCTGTTCCCCCCTTGTTTGAGGACTGTGGCTGGGCCTTCTTGGCTTTGGTCTGTTCAACAGGTGTGTCTGGCTCTGGTAAACTCTCTACCCCCGCCGCTTCCTTGGCAGTGCGCACTGCACTCGCGGCAGTCTCTGCCTCTTTTCTGCACTGCAGATTTTTGAGATTTACCTCCCCAAACTTGTCCCTTAAACGGGCTAATTCGTCCTGGGATTTGTCCAGGGATGTCTTCACCCCTGCCCCACCCTTTGCCCTTGTGAGGTCTGCACGTTTTTGCAGGTTGATTCTGTCGGTTTTCGCACGTGCGAGGTTTGATTTCTCCTTTTCTACCTCTTGCTCGTAATACGACCTTTTCTTCTCTGCATCTTTCATCCTCTTCTTAACCTCCTCCTCCTTCTGGGCCAATTTCGCGATGTCCGTGGTCAACTTTTCGAGTTCTGGGTCCTGTTTCGCCCTTTCCCACTTCCTAGCCAAGACAGACACCGTTTCTTTCAGCTTGTCAAACTGAACTCTGATCTCGCCTAGTTCGCTCTTACTACCCTCGAAGGCTTTCCGTTTGACCTCTAGGTTTTTCTCCGATAAAATCACCATTTGAGATGTGAAAGATAGTTGAGAGGGGGGTGCCATCCTCTTCTTCTTTGACCCCCTCTGGCCCACCACCTGCCAGGGGTTAGTCACGCGTGGTACGGATGGTAGCGGAGGAAACTGGTCATCCTCACTGTCGTCGACCAACGACTCAAAGCGATTCCCCTCCAACACTGAATGACCCGACACCGTTTCAGAGTTGCTAAACACCAGCTGGCTCGACTCATCTGCTTCACAGCTAGATTCGAGTGCGTTTTTGGGTGACACATACTTGTCTGCTGCGTGAAGTGTGTTTTCCATCTCCCTTGCCAATTTCGCGCTAGCTTCGAGTTGTTGTTGTTCGCTTAGAATTCTTGCTCTTTCCTCCCCACCCAGACGGATTGCGATTTCAGCGTCGGATTCGGGTCCCGTTTTTCCACCTCCACTCATATTCGACACCAGGCTTCGGAAAGCCTCTAGATCACCCCCAAAATGCGAATGTAACAAGTCAAGGAGCGCACTCGAAGAGCTTCTCACCTCCCCAACTTCCGCAGGCACCTCATCCTGGGACTCTGTATCCTCTTCCCCACCCTTGTCCTCCACCTGGGCATCACCCGCCCTCTTCCGTGAGTCTTCCTCCTTCACCGGACCTTCGTCTCCCTTATCACCTGACGTACGAGAAAAAAAAACGACCCGCGTCAGCTGTCTGTGACCTCTTGCTTTTGCGCATTTCGTTTGTCCGACGGGAGTAAAATTCCTCCCCACCCCTCTTACTTCGTGGTGCTAACGCTTGGAACCCAGGCATTGCCATTGCCTCCATTGCCATTCTCCGGTCTGCGCTGAGGCGCCTTGCCCCTGCCCCCGAGTCTCTTGTCAGACCCCTCCCCCGACTATCAGACACATCGTCCTCACACCCCGCTTTGCCCCGATCTCCCGTGATCTGCGTCAGCCCTTTTGCTAGACTTGAAGACGCACCCTTTTCCAAGTCATCCACCCTTCCACCCTTTCGCGACGCACTTCCCCCCCCAGCGTGCGCAATACCCTCATAACCCGCCTTGCCCTCAGGCCCTCTTCCCTGTCCCCCAGAGACCTCAGCCTCTCTCCGTTGTGCATCCTCGGATGTCTGCTGTGCACCCTTAGATAGCACTTTCCTTGTCTGACGTGAGTCCCCCACTTCAACGTCTCCACCCGACCTCTTTTTCCCCTCCTCCCGAGGTCTCTCTTTCCCCACTTCCCCCTTCACCGCCCTCGCTTTATCAGCGGGCTCATCCCCTTTGTCAGTCGACTCATCCCCTCCCGTCGACAACCCTTCATCATCCACCCCACCGCCCTTAGAACCACCTCCACCCCTGTGGCCCGAGTGTCCAACCCTCCCTTCATCGCTGGTCACTTCCCCCCCCTCACCTCTCTGTGCCATGGGAAGACCACACCGCAAGCAGTGCGATTAAACACAGCCCCTCCTTCGGTGCCACTGACGTGCAATCGGCCGGCGGTGGCCTACTGGCGCCTAGATATTTATGTAGATGTGCCGGTGGGGTCGTGTGTGTTTCGCGTCTCGAAGGTGCGTGCGATCAAAGTGTGTTTCTTAGGCCTTCGTGGGCCGGGATCAGCAGGGAATTCGAACACTGAAAAGGGGGGGCATGCAACGTCAGCTGCCACGACGAGCTAATTGCGCCGCTTCCCTGTGTCTGTCCAATTCGCCGCTTCACTTTCTCTCCAACTATCTCTCTGTCTCTCAACTGACTGGAATTCCCTCATAAGCTCATCATTCCAACCATAAACCAAACCTTCCTCACTTCTAGTCTCCATCTCACACACTTTTCATGACCTTATTTGGCGATATCTCAACCAGAACTAATTCCAACCCTGCTCCCAGAGCCATCATTCGCAAGTCCATTCCATCACGCCTCAACATATATATATTATACTGCGATTAAACTACCCCAAGTCTTCTTGCACTGACCAAAACTAGGGTTGGCTTATTGCACGACAAAATGCGGCGTGCGCACTGCTGCTCCGCTGCTACTCTGTGTAGGCGTGTAGGCGCACCTTTGTCGCCTTCTTGCCACACAGCAACGTCGACAGAGAGCGAAGCGGGAGGGACGGCGCCTAATCTCCGACAAAGGTATGTTGGATGTTGCAACATTTGCACGCAACAATGCGACACAGGTGTTTGGTCCGATGACATCCGAACGGTATCCGTGGTTGATGTTCGGAATTTTTCCCGAGCATGTGCCTCACGCCCCACTTTCCACAAGACAGCCGGCGAGATCACGTATGTTTCACAGCGGTAGAGCTCACGAAATCTGAACATGTATCCAGGAATTCGTTCCGACGCAGATGACGACGCTTGATTTGTTCTGAGTAAATGATTTAGAAAGTCCCCCCCCGCCGAAGGGGTATTTTCCGAATTCCAACCTGTTTGTCTCAGGGTCACAAAAAAATCAAGTTTCACAGCGACGCACAGCCACACCGCGGCAGCGATTCACTGGAGAAATGGGGAATGTACCTTGTCAGCGCGCAGAAAACGGTTCATCTGTGGGCATAGACAACCAGATGCAGTATTTGTTGTGAATAGCAAGGCAGTGTCGTCAAATAATTGATGGCGAGACGCAGGAGCAGTCCAGCACGAGCGTCTCCTTGCTCAAGTGCAGGAAGACCTCCTAGGCCCATGCACTTCGGGCAGTGATGTTGCAATGTTCGGAACAGGTATGGTATGTCGAATGACTGAAGCGCAAGAGGTATAGTATGTGGAACTTCTGAAGGAAGAGCGATGCGCCATAATTAACATTGAACTATTGTAGTCCGCGGCATGGTCATCAGGCCATCTTGTTGCGAGGCGAAGAAAAATCATCGACAGAACGTGCTTCCACACTAAAATCAAGTCTAATGACTCTCGACATCCCGCGAGTAATATGCGTGTGATTTTCTGATCAGCTTCGACCGCGCTAACCGGCTCACCAATGAAAATACGCCAGTCTCATTGTGGTTGAAAACACAAAACACTTCTAGATGCCATTAACTGGGACCCCGTGCGGGGGTGAGGGGGCGGCATGGGGGAGGCTAAGCTATTCTCCGGGTTCAAGACAGAAACAGTGGAACAGAGGAAAACTGTACGTGTTTCTGTCAATGCTGCTACCTTGCACTCGAGTTCTTCATGTTTTGGTGTCATCCTCCTTGCTGCCAACGCCATCACTCTCATCGCACTTGTTACAGCCATTTTCGGCAGTGTGTGTTCGTCCCGTCTATTCTGGCGTCGGTTTACATGCCTTTCGGCGTAAATACCTGACGTATCAGTCGGGGTCACCCAAGGGAACGATCATAGAGGAGCTTTCTTCAAAACTTCGTTTGTATTTTTGCCCCATTTCTCCCCCTGCGGTGCTTTCGCCTTAGTTTTTATCGCGAAAAGGGTTCAGCCAGCCCTTTTCCTCGTTGACCGTGCAGCCATGTATATAACATGATATTTCCGAAATACGTAATGGAAAAAAGCAACAAAAAATGTTGGGAATTGACATGCTGTGCTTGTGAGCAGGATGGAAATCCTACTCCTTGAAGCTCAGAACTCGGTCGGCGTGGAAGCTCACAGACTTTACGGTCGTTTGAATCGTCCCACATTTTACCGCTACCAAGCCAAGTTGGCCAGTCCCTGTGCGATAGATACGCACTTAAGTCTTCTGGTGCACAAACTGTTGGCGTCGGGGGTGCTTATCGCCAGGGGCTGAGAACACTGTGCACGCGCAATCCACGGTGAATTTCTCAGGGTTGTTCACGGAGCGTTCTTTTCCCACGGAGCGCTCCGACCCGTAAGACTTTGGCCTTGCAGAAAAACCTTTCCCCTCCGTGGCATAAACAATGAAAACGCCTCGCTCCGTGAAAAATTGGCCTTCGGATAAACCGCTCCGCTCCGTGTGGATTCGCAAAAATACAAGCAGTTTTTTCACGCAGCGATTTGAGTGACTCCGTCACACAACCGCCGATAAAACCGCAATACACTCACGCTTTTACCACGTAGTCAAGTTTTTTTTCCCACGGAGTCACGGCCTTTTCTATTTTCACAGCATCCATACTAAACAACCGTGCCCACGCACCACACACACAGTCCGCGCCCCACACGCACTACGTGCACACCAGTCCGTGTGGACGTGTGCATGTCTCTGATGGAGTCGACACCCGGACACGGCGACCGCCCTTCCGGCGACCACTCTCCTCGCCGTAGTGGTGCTGGCACTGGTGGTGGTGGTTCTGCTAGCCCCATCTAGTTGGGGAAGCTGCTGCAGTGCAGTCTGTTGGGAAGGCCAAATGCATCCTCCTGTCCAAGCCGCTCGTGGGGGAGGGCAACTGGTTGTCGAGGTCGTATCCGACGGGGTGTATTTGTTTGATTGAATAATACATGAGACGCCTGGTGCTACCAAAGTGCCACAGCAGTAGTATGGCAAGTTTCAAAGAGAGGCAAGTGAGGAATCATCTGCTGTTGTTGTACGTACGTGTTGCAGGAACGTATGAGTCGAGGAGGTCTCCATGTGGGGATCGATTCTTATCTGAATAATTGAATAATTGATTTATCGACAGCTTTTTGGTCTGTTTGGGCTGTCCTGGCGGCGAGGACGCGTACAGTGTTACCGGTTGCCTCCAAGCACTGCATACCGTTTGGAAAAAACGGTTTTCGGTTTACCAAACCCAGCGTTTCTGATGAAATTCCAGGTACTCCGTCGATTTGTGCATTTGTGAGGATGTTCGTGCGGTTTCCATGGATTTTTCTGACGGTGGGCCGTCCTCAAGGCCACCGTTTCGCGCGGTTTTATGGTACTGGGTAAACTAAACCGCGCCGTGAAAAAACCGTACTAAGGAGAATCCGGTCCCTCCGCTCCGTGACATTAAAAATGTAACAGATACATGCGCTTCGTGCGACGTTTTTGCCCTCGGATGAACCGCTCCGCACCGCTTCGTGACATTTAAAAAAACGAATAAACGCTGCCCGGAGAGGGTACTCCGTGAAAAACCTCGGAACTTGTAACCTGCTCTTGATGTTCACCGCACCCTCCACCCCACAGCAGTTCCCCCAGGACCTAACAAGAGTTGTTTTCAGATTTGACCTCGTCATGCTTTCAGGCTCTCTCTCTGGCTCGAAAAATCCCTTTGAACCAGGTGGGAACATGAGCTGAGTATGCTTTTGAGAAACAATCGGGGTCCGGCTGCAGGGTGCCGGCCTCATGTAGAGAGAAATACGCTGTGCTCGTTTGATTGGACCGCCCCCCCCCGCTGGGACTAGGTTTCCAAGAGGATGCCACAATCGGATAGATCCTTTTTCGGAAGGGCCTAGAACTAGACGGTTCCATAATGCACTGCTGTCTGTCACTGCTGTTGCTGCTGCAGAGTACTGCTGTAGTTGAGCTCTTGAAATCTGTCATCACGGGGGTGTGGTATCTTACGTATTTGAACATATGATAATCCACAGCAAAAGGTCGCGGTTGTACACAGCCGGGCTTCGCTAACTCTCGACTCGTGTTGTAAACTTGCGCCGCATTCGACGCACACCGAGGCGCCTCGATTTTTCTGTGAGTACTCCGTTCGGGTCCATTTCATTGTCGGAGCTAAAACGGGCATGGGCGTGGATGTATCGAAGAGCATGGTGCCCTCGAGGAGGATGGACGGCCAGAGCCTCGCTGTGCCGAGAGCGGCAGAAATTCCCAAGCGTGAGGTGGCTGCTGTATTATTATGGCTACAGCAGTATCGTCATCAAAATAGACTCGGCGCGCAAAAATGGGTGTAGTGTTGAATAGCGACGCACGTGTTGTATTGGGCGATGGCCGCAGCACGGAGAAGTACATACTACATAGCGTTTAAAGTGTCAAACCTCAATGTGCGCGAGACCCTCTCCACCGGAAAGTACACAGCTGTTCGAGCTTCGGGTGAGTTTGTAGAGCGGCACGCAGATGTGATAAAAGGTGTACCATGTTTTCGGTAAGGAAAGTTTTTAGCGACGCCTCATCACGGCCTGCTTTTCAAACGCCAACCTACGTCGACCTCCAGCTGCATACACAGCAGCCTACCCTAATGTGTGCACATCAACCTTTACTACCGTACAGACCGCATCACCCGGGCCAGATCTGCTTCCTGCCCTATATCACTTTACAAGAGGATAATGTTGAGTTCAACTGAACTTTCGCGTTTGCAACGCCCGGTGGAAACGAGAGGCAATCTAAAGAAAAACAACCAGCTCTTGGAGGACCAGCACGGTTGCCCAAGGCAAGCTGCGATACCAATCACAGACCAGTGTGGTTAACCGCTGGTTCCAATCTGCTGCGAACCGTGTGACAATGCATCTGATGCAGCCGCCTCTGCTGAGCTGAATGGCGATTTGAGTTATAGTCCGGTGCCCCGAAATCAACGTAGTATATGCCAATAACTGTGGAAAATCGATGGACAAGACAAACCGTAGTGGGCGCCAAACCGTTGGTAGCACCCAAGTTGAATGTTTCCCCGCCACCTTCTTCATTTGCCATGAAATGTGAGTATTGGATTTGATGAGGTTAACGGCCGGTGGCTGCCTCCGGGTTCTCTCGAAGTTTCAGGAGCCTAAACGACAAGTCACAACTGCATTGCGCGCATCCCGCAGAAAAAATGTTCGTTTTTCGATGATGCAGTATACCATAGTTGCATTTCTTTCTTAAAAAATTCGATCGTTCACATGGGAAACGATTTTACTGCCGTCTATGGGGACCTCATACCGCGCATGTGTGCCCGAAAGCACGCTGTACCGTCGCGGCATCCATCACATCCTACGGCATGTACCTTGACCTGTAGACAACAAGTCCGGGCACCGCTGATAATTGACGTCAAAAACAGGTCAAGGCTCACCTTCCTATTACGCCACCCTCGTCGAGTGTAGGCGATTCCATTGAGTTTGGTGTGGGATCCTCGGCGAAGCGTGTTTCTTTACACCTTTCTATCCAACGTCTCGTTAACAGTCGAGCCTTCGTCCCCTATCCAAATCGTTCCTAACTGCGGACCCGCCTCGTATCACATTTCTGGACGGCAGACCCATTGGCAGATCCGGCCGGGGGGCTTCCCTGCCAGCTTCTAGGCACTCTTGGACCCTGGCAAGAACGCCTACACTGCGATCGAAGAAGAAAATTATAGTCGCCATGGCTAACACCGAAGGTGGGAGGTCTGGATTCGGTTATGGCTGCATCAAAAAAACTGGCACAAGCACGTAGACCTACTTTGGGGAAATAGGGTGCGGTTATCTTGCGGCAACCTCCATGACATATTGTCCCGCACGTATACATTCATACAGCATTCGTTTAACGTCCGCGCCTGTTGAACCGGTACGGGTGTTGGAAGGTATTGAGCAGGGACTGGGACGATATACTCGCAGCAGCAACTGCAACAGCGGCAGCAGCAGCAACAACAACAACAACAACAGATAACAGATAACACATCCAATTTTGAAAGTTCGGTTCTGCACCACAAGGAAACAGCCACGACTACAAGGGTCGGCGCAGTGCTACGTCGAAATTAAACCAGGTTGCATATATCCCGCCAGGCGGACGCCACCCTTACTGCCACAAGTCTATGCCACACACAAACACATCGTACATGCATGATCTTGTCCACCGAGCCTTGTGTTGTTTGCCGGGCGAGAGGCGGGAGTAATTGTGTACAGTGCCGGACCGCTCGTAAGAACGAACCTCGTATGAAGTTGAACCTCATGTTGGAAAATATGAAGAAATAAGTCAGACATAAGGTCTATTTGCTGGACATGCACACGAAACAGTGTGTACGTAAGGTTTTCTTTTTGGAGGACTATTGGCTGGCAAGAGGGAAATTGGCAAAGGGTGTTTTCTGTAAGGTACGGGTACGCTTGGTATTTTGTGAGGGGTGTACCGGTACCATCGGTATTTATCAAAGGTATACCGATATTTTCGGTAAGGTATTGAGATATGACCGAGGTATACCGAGATTTTCGGTAAGGTATTGAAAAAGTACCGAAGTATACCGAGAATTTCGGTAAGGTGTTGAGATATTACCGAAGCATGTACCGGTACCCTCGTTATTTGTCGAGGGTATACCGAGATTTTCGGTAAGGTATTGAAAAATTACCGAAGCATACCGAGATTTTCGGTAAGGTATTGAGATATTGCCAAAGCATACCGAGACGCTTGGTACGGTAAACACCGGCGGTATTTACCGGCGGTACGCTTCGGTAGTACCTTACCGAACACACCCTTGGAAATTTGGAAGTAGGAAACACATGTAGTCAAACACGCTGGCGGTACGCTTCGGTAGTACCTTACCGAACACACCCTTGGAAATTTGGAAGTAGGAAACACATGTAGTCAAACACGCTCTGTCAAACCTAAACAATGGCGACAGAAAAATACAGTTCACATCTCTGCGGCAATGAAAGGTGTTGAGAATCGTCGAAACAATTGTCTCTTACGAGCGGACCGGACCTATACGTCGAAACAAGCACACCAGCGCACATGAGCTCCCATGAACCTCTCAGCAGAGCTCGAGCAAAGTGCTGTTGTCGTCCGGACTCTGTGAAGCAATATTGCGCAGGCGAGCTACATAGCAAGTGCGAGAAAGCAAGGGCCGGGAAAACATCAGGGTGATCATCAAAGGAAAAACATTAACAAAATGCGTGTTGTGGAAGGTGTACCTCCGTGGACACCTTCAACGAAGTCAAGGCGAGGCGCATTAGTTCCTCTCCATAGAAGCACAATTGCGGCTTTAATACTTGGCTCTAGCCCGGGAGAAAGTCGCGCCAATCCAACGGCGACAACTGCATAGAGCTTTACGTCCTTACATGCCCGGAATAAATACACTTGGGCACCAACAAGGATCGACAACGTTTCGGTTTTGGGGCACAGGTCAACCTTGACGATTCAGGCAGGCGAAGGGAGAGTGATGGGTTTGATGGCCACGTTTCGCTTGTAGACCTGGTGACCCAGCATCGCCGGGAACAGTGGCGAACAGCGTGGGTGGCTTTCGGTACACTGCAGTTCATTCTGTTTCATGAGTGCTGCTTCAATCGAATATGCCCCACTTGCATGCGAAGGGCCCACTTCATGTCTAGCGTAAGCGAGACATCCCAGATGCCTATATTTTCTTGAGTCTCGCGGCGGTTTCAAACGAATGGTAGTTTGGACAGCCCCAACTATCATATGACGGACCGGTGGGCGTCATCGTGCATGAACAGATAGATAAGACAGTGGTCAATCACAGGGCACCACGTGTTTGATTAGCAATGGCTGCTGTTTGTAGCTTTCCGAATGCTCTGTAACCTTGTAAGTGTCAACTCGAAGCACCTAGATCCCCTTCATGCTTTTTCTTACGTAGCCTCCACCTTCACCCATACAGGCGCGTAGCAAGTCCCGAGGCCCACAACACCATATATTCCCGTTTCTATCGTACATGTTCGGCCCACTGTCTCAGGAGGGGGCAGCTCCCTGGACACACTCATTGTCGCGTTGAACCAGGCTTGCGATGGCCAAGAGAAACGTTGGTATGTGTCTACGCTGGAGCTGCAGCTTGTTTCGCTGGAGCTTTGCGGGGCGTGCAGAAGTGCCCAACTGTTGCACGTATTCGTCAGGGAAGACACACCTCCTACCTTGTGGTCTTCTCGCACATCGCGCACCACACCCAGCCAGCGCAGTCCAGAGGTTTGCACCTCGAATCGCGTGCCGGCTGTGCAGGCTTTGTGTTGGACGTGGGCGCTTCCGATGGACCGCTTGCCGCAGAGGGCTGCAGCTGAGCCGCAACCAGTGACAGAACGTCGGCTGCAAGATGGCCATTCATTCGCAGCAAGCGTAGAGTCGGTGGTTTGGCCTGAAAGCCTCAAACGGCTGGTATTCTCTCGGCGCATGCCGGGAAAAGCGGTGTGGTGGCGTGCCTCCCTGCAGCAGCAGCTATCGCTTGGGGATACCAACCGGCCCATCCACGATGTCGTGTGGCCGGCCTCTCTGAATCAGCTATCGCTTGGATATTCATTCAACCAGCCCATCGTCGGAGCCACGTGGCCGGCATCCCTGAGGCGGCTATCGTTTGGAAATGCATTCAACCAGCCCATCGTCGGAGCCACGTGGCCGGCCTGCTTGCAGCAGCTATCGTTTGGGTACGACTTCAACCAGCCCATCGTAGACGTCGTATGGCCAGTCTGTCTACAGCGGTTATCGTTTGGCACGTGGTTCAACCAGTCCATAGTCAGAGTCACGTGGCCGGCCTGCTTGCAACAGCTATCGTTTGGAGAACGATTCAACGAGCCAATTGCCGACGTCGTGTGGCCGGCCTGCCTGAAGGAGCTATCGTTTGGAGAACAATTCAACCAGCCAATCGCCGACGTCGTGTGGCCGGCCTGCCTGGGGCAGCTTTCGTTTGATCATGACTTCAACCAGCCCATCGTCGCAGCCACGTGGCCGGTTTCCCTGCAGCAACTATCGTTTGGGTACAAATTCGACCAGCCCATCGTAGACGTCATATGGCCGGTCTCTCTACAGCGGCTATCGTTTGGGATGAAGTTCAACCAGCCCATCGTCGGAGCCACGTGGCCGACCTCCCTGAAGCAGCTGTCGTTTGGGCATTTCTTTGACCAGCCCGTCGTCGGAGTCACGTGGACGGCCTCCCTGCAGCAGCTATCGTTTGGTAAATACTTCAACCAGCCCATCGTAGAGGCCGCATGGCCGGACTCTCTAGTGCGGTTATCGATTGGGACAAAGTTCAACCAGCCCATCGTCGGAGTCACGTGGCCGGGCTCCCTGAAGCAGCTGTCGTTTGGGATGAAGTTCAACCAGCCCATCGTCGGAGCCACGTGGCCGGCCTCCCTGCAGCAGCTATCGTTTGGTAGAGAATTCAACCAGCCCATCCTAGACGTCGTGTGGCCGACCTCCCTGCAGCAGCTATCGTTCGGGCGTGATTTCGAGCAATGCTTGACCGACGTCGTATGGCCACCTTCCTTGGCAAGTGTGACTCGTGAAGGACCTATGGTATGATGTCTGTCGAGGTAGGCCTCCATTTGTGTGTAGTCTGTCTTCGGGAATGCAGAACATGTAGACCGTGGTGCCCTGTACACAGAAGAACACATTTTGTTTTGTGGTTCTGAGTGGCAAAGCTACGGTCGGGGCGTGGTTGGTTGAAGATGCGTTCGTGGTTTGAAGTCGTCACTGAGTAGTAGAAATGTTTTTTGTCGTATGCACGAACCGAACAAATTGACCATTTTTGGATGGATAGGTCTACCATAACCTGATCTCCTGTTATGCCGACCTAGATGCGAGCTGCTTCACCTTCGTTGGGTTTTCTGCTGTCCTAATAGAAAACATTTTGGTCTATTGAGACGTTCCAATTGGACCGCATGTTACCTATATGGCGCCGTGTTGTGACGGTGGATTTGAAGCTTAGCTGACCTCACCAACAGGAATACCCCGAGGTGAGGAGTGGGTCGTGATTGTTCTTCTCGTTCGTAGTCGTGAGTGGTGTTGGGGCTGGTGTTTCATTTTTATTGGCATGGGTATGTGTATTGTAGCTTCAATGAAACGAGCGTCGGAATCAATCGTAAGGCAACCGTATAGCGTCTGTTGCGAACAGGCCGTTTACACGTTGCCGTTGAGCTTGTGGGTGTTTCGAACTCTGCTCTGAGGCGAGCTACGGCATGGATAGTAACACAGGAGGGATGGTATTATGCCAAAGTTGCGTGACTGCTGATGTAGCTTCTTCTGCTGTTGTTGTTGTTGTTGTCTTCACATTAAAAACCGATCCGATCTCTCTCTACCCAGTACCTTCGTATGTCCGTACTGATCCAATACTCGACGCGGTCGATTCCCGTGGTCACAGGTTAACTTACCCTAAAACGGTACACTCAAATAAACTGGCCCCGAGGGGTTCGCAAGTCAATTCTGAAGCTTTAGCTTCAGTCTCATCGTTCAATATCCGTGGAAGTTTCATTCGCATGCCCCACCCCTTGCCCGACCCGGTCTAAAATGCTGATCTCGAGCTATAGTGCAAATCTCGTGGCGCCTCGAGTATGGTTCGGTGTTGTATCGCAAAATATGAGCCGTCCCCGAGTTTGACCAGCTTCCGCCTCCTGTGGCCGGCAAGAGTCGGCCTTGACTGTTCCTTGCCTGTTTCGCCAGTTGGCCGGTTGAACAGTGGAAGACGGTCCTGCGTCCTGCGCGCCACATTTTTTTTTTTTTGCGTTTGTTGTTGAGTGATCATTGTACACATGCGGCTGCTGCTGCGGTTGCTGCTGTTATGTTCGGAGTGTGCTGCAATGGTCGTACGGTGATCGTAGTCAGGTTTTACAACAGTCTGCTCGTTCGCATAGCGGTAGCGGTGCGCATCTATCGCGACGGCAAGCGCATTGAGATAGTTCGTCCGTCGTGCTTCAGTCTACACAGATCGTCGTGTTCTTCGTTGTTGCCACTTCATACCAGAAAAGAAACAAGTCTCCACCAACTTGCAGCAGTATCTATCTCCACAGCAGTTCGGAAACAACGTCGTTTTTTCATTTGTCGTGTTTGTTGTTTCTGAGCGCACATCGGATGTCGCCGTTCGTTACACGTGTTCAAGCCTGTGGTGGGCCAGAGGGATTAGAGTGAGTGTCTCCTCGAGAGTTCATGGCTTGTCTTCTCGAGTCTCTCTTCCTTTAGTCTACCTCTCTCTCTCTCTGTTGCATTTTCGCCGTTAGGATCCCAATATTATCGAACGTCAACGGCAATCGTTTGCATCTTGCTGAGTAGGAGGCTACCCGTGTACCCGGCTGCTGCATGTTAGTCGATGGGCGCCGCCTCTTTCCGTCAAGCAATGCGCATGGCCCCTACGGTTCGCCGCACATGCAGTGCTGTGTGACAGCTTCCAGCAGTTCAGAGCGTCGACGGTATTTTTCGCCGGTAGGGCCCCAGAACAACGCGAACCGCGACTGTTTCGTTGTTTGGGGGTCCCCCACCCACCCACCCATCCATGAATTTCAGCAGTTTTGGTTGGGGAGGATGTTTTTTCTTGTCATGTCCACGACGTGATGCCCCGAGCGAGTATGGTTCGGTAGGGAATCGCAAACCATGACCCCTCCCCGAGTTTGAGCATCAGCTTCCGCCTCCTGTGACGGACAAGAAGACCGAAAATTGTCTCGCCATCCAAACAACAGTTGGCCAGTTGAAAAAAGAGGGTCCGGTCCGCCGAAGATTTATTTTTTTGTGTTTCCCTGCCGACCAAAAATACCCTCGGCTACGGCAGTGCAACTCTCATGTCGCCTCAAGTACGGTTCCGTAGAGAATTGCAAACCACGACCCCTCCCCGACTTTGAGTATATAGCTTCCACCTCCTGCGACGGATAAGACCGACGTCAAACCCTAGATTATGTCTGTCTGTGTCGCCATGTCGACATCGACGAACAGCAGTTGGAGAGTCACAATAAAGAGGGTCCGCTTCGCCACCAAGAAAACGTTTTTTTTTGTAATTCTTCTACAAGCCGGATATGATGCTACGATGTATCTATCGGGTGTAGCTGTGGTTGTGAGCTTGGGGGATAGGGTCTACGGCAGCATATTTTTTGCGAGGAGTTAACGTCTTCCTCGCGTAACGATGCGCATCTCCCACGGCAAGCAGAATGAAGTACATCATCATGACGCTATTTCTTGTGACTACAAGTTCAAGTTCGCCCGGGCGTTGTTGTTCTTGCCGGATAAAGAGACTACACTTACTTCTACTACGTACCAGTCCGTGTACCCGGCACTGCATGTGAGGTAGTGGGTGCTGCCCCTGTTGTTTGCTGCGGTACATGGAAAGCTTCCGGTCCGTCAGAGCGGCAAGGGGGGCTTGTTTCTTCACTTGTTTCTTAGCTGTGCTCTCCTCTACTTCTTTGTTTCCTGACGCTGGCGGTCTCTCTTTTTTTATCGCCCTTCGTTCTTGCTTGCAAGAAACTGTAAGGATGTAAACTGGCTGAGTCTGATTGTTTCTCAGGGTCCCCCGCCCACCCACGACCCACGTGTCGGTGTGGTTCGTGGTCTCCAATATTTTCAGCAGTAGTTGTCTACTACAGGACATGCGCTACTACTGCTGCGGCCATGGGTGGGTGCAATAGAAGAGCCCCGGGGACTGGTGGCCTTCTGACCTGATCGCAGAGAGAGGCTCCTGCCACTTCCACGATACGACTCTTATGAAATGTTCATGACGGGGAACGCGACTACGCCTCTGTTTTTTCTTTTTTCCTCTCTCCCGTCCGGTTCTTTCGTTTCGGAGAGAAAACCTACTGTGAAAAGCGCATCTTCTGGGGTCCGCATTCATTTAGTTCCGGATTTTTTCCCAGCGTGCGGAGCACTTTCTGGTGTGATCTCCTTTTCATTCGTGTGTGATCGTGCGTACTACACGTAGTAAACGACAGGAAAAGATCAACGAGATGATTGGCGGCATTCTTGAAAGCATGGAGTCCCTCGCCACAAAAAAGTGCATGCGCATGGATGGGCGTAGTGAGAAGTGCCGGTCGAAGACTGACGGTTTTTTCGGGTGCGCGTGAGGTCGCCTCTAATATTATTTTGCATAGTTTTGCTTTATTGTTGTCCAGTCTATGGTTATACTGCCTCGCATAGCGTATTGAAGCGAGCGGAGGGTCCTAGACTAATCTATCGTTGACTTGCGGAGCCTTCTTCGGGTCCATTTTAATTTTGTATGGAAAGTTTTTCGGGTAAGTTAGCCTGTGACCACGGCGGGAATCGACCGCGTCAAGTGTCAGACTATCGTACATAAATAATGTTAGGGCGTGTACTAACGTCCCTTGTTGGACAGGGAACAGGGAACAGGGAACTCGGAAATCCCTGTTCCCTGTTCCGTGTGGTTGAGTCCTAACATACACCACATTTCCAGGAACACGGAACGTTTCAGTGCGCGCTTGGGGCCCGCAGGTACTCGAAGGCAACAAATACAACCATTGGATGCACAAAGACGAGTGGGAGGTAGACGGTAGGGGGGGGAGGGGGTGGTGACGGTGCAGTTTTGAAGGAAGCTGTTGACGAGCGCACATGAAACACATGTGCCAGGTATCGGCTAGAACAGGCGGTGCTCGTCATGCAATCCGCACCCTCGACAGTGCTCTGAAAGGCTTGTTTTTTTTAGGTGTGGTCCACGGCAGCTTGCCGTTTCTTTGACACTTTTATGTTCCCCCATACAACGGCTACACGAGCATCCAACGCCATTTTTTCATTGGAACTCGCATGTGCTCATGGGCTCTCATGAGAGCTAAATTAGCTCTCTTATTAGCTAATTAACTCTCATGAGCTCTCATGGGCACTCATGAGCTCTCATTAGAGCTAATTTAGTTCTCGTGGGCTCGCATGAGCTCTCATGAGAGCTAATTTACCTCTCATGAGAGCTAATTAGCTCTCGTGAGCTAGCATGAGAGCTCATTTAGATCTCATGAGCTCTCATGAGCTCTCATGAGAGCTAATTTACCTCTCATGACCTCTCATGAGAGGTCATGAGAGCCCATGAGAGCTATTTTAGCTCTCATGAGAGCTCATTTAGTTCCCATGAGCTCTCGTGAGAGCTCATGAGAGCCCATGAGAGCTCATGAGAGTCCAGCTAAATTAGCTCTCATGGACTCTCATGAGCTCTCATGAGAGCTAGATTAGCTCTCATGACCTCTCATTAGCTCTCATGAGAGCTTATGATCTCTCATGGGCTCTCATGGGCTCTCATGAGCTCTCGTGAGAGCTAAATGAGCTCAAGTGGGCTGTCATGGGCTCTCATGAGAACCCATGAGACTCCCGGAGACTCCTAGAGACTCCCGGAGACTCCAAGAGACTCACTGAGACCCATAAGACCTCACAATACCCGATGGCAACCCACGATTCTCTTTGAGAAGCTATGAGAAGCATGAACATCCACGAGACCTTGTGTGGCCGCGGCTGCAACCGCCGTGTGCACCAATCCACGGACTGGTGGGTGCGCCATGGTCCGCCGTTGACTTCTCATTGTTGTTGTTGTTGTTGTTGTCATGCATTGTTGATCACATACAGCCTCTTAAGGCATACCATCACGTTTCCCTGGTCGCCACGACGTCCAACACGACGCCGTGTGATGACGCAGATCGCAAAACCGCGAAGTCGGTTGATCGTCATCCTGTGGGTCTATGCATGTCAGTCTAGGTTTAGAGTTTATTGTTGGGCTAGGTTTACACTATACGAAGCATTTAATGATAGGGCATTTGGTTTTCATGGAATGGCCCAGCAGGGTTAATGTACCCGGGTCAATACAAAGCATAGATTATCTAGCGGTGGGCTCACATCCCTTAAGTACAAGAGAGATACCTGGTAAATCGTTTGCTGTTATGCCCAATCCTTGGTGATTTTTTCGGGCGCGTTGCCTCGCAAGACTTAGTTGTCAGTAGATCACGACAAGTCCTTCTTGGCTGAACAATAACTTAGCAGGAACGTAAAACACCACGTAACAGGTTAGGTTAGCAGCGCCTTCTCCACGGGGCTTCGGCACGGGGAAAGTACATGGGCGACAGGGAAGGACCAGAAAAAGCCACCTTTTACGCCAAAAACACGAATCATCCGGCCTCTCGCCGCCCCTACACAGGGAAACCGTGTGCGTGTTACTCGACACACGTTCGACGAGTATGGATTGTCCTTTCGATAGTCCTCCAGAACACAACTGTCGCACAGGTAATGCTTCTACCCTGTGTCCCATCGGGACTACACGTCCATATCGCACACCTCCGTGCCAAATACCACCGTTACAACACGTTATTGTCAGGAACAGCATGTACCCTACGTATCATATGGCACGTGGTCGGCAGTCACAGTACCATGAGCGCAACCAAACAAAATTGCTGCAGGCCCGCTTATCGTACAGACCAAGCCATCCTACAACCCGCCGCGCAGCTATCGAACAAGGTACATTTTAGATGGCGTAATTCGATGAAAATATATCCTCTGCCCGGGCAAATCATCGTGTGTACGAATACCTAGCGAAACCAATGTGTAGACCCACAGGGTGTAACACGTCGCTAACGTGCACTATTTCTCTCCTTACGCTGTATACCTCAAAATAGGTCATGAAACCCATGCCTGGAAAGGTGAAGACGTAGACACCTGCTGCTCGACACACTGCGGTCATCCTCGTGTTTGTCCCTTGTCCTAGTGGATTATTGTCGACCGACACTGAGTTATCTGGGCAGCACTCATCTCTGGGGTCTCCAAAGAAGCATATTCCTACTAGCGTCCTCTGAAAGGGTGTCTTTATTGCGCACTGGGTTGAGTCTTTGCCCTCCTTTTCCTGTGATGGCGTGTTCCAGGGGTTTCTCCAGGTGTTGACGTGTCACCTTGGGACACGAAGCGAAGTCGGAGAGCGCAGGACGTAATGGTCAGGGTAAAGTGAGGTAGGTGTGATTCGGATAAGGGTGGATTTCCCTGTTCACGGATCTTCGCAAAGTAGGTATCTACCTATCTGTACCAATGGAGAGGACTAACCACACGCTCGGAGCTCTGACCGAAGGATTAGGAGTTCGTTGCGGAGCATACAACGTACGCCCAAACGTATAGAGGATGTGGGGATGCCAGCGACGACGAAACAAGGGTGACTGAGGACATCGCTGCGACCTCACGAACAACCTAAACTTCCACCACATGTCGAATAGTGTCGGCAGCACCGTGCGCGGACAACTCACCGGACGACATCGTTCTATGATCCTTTTCCACCTCCACGTCTGAAGGGCTGCTCGCGCTGTCGTCCGACAACACCCCTGCCCTCCTCTCGCTGATTTCCCGCAGTCGCAGCTCGCGTTCGTAGCGGTCCCTGCATGATGTCGGTTTGACGAAGGCCGTTGTCGAACCGGCATGACAATGACGGGTGGGGGGGGGTGTAGACATAGTCGTGCATGCCGTAATCGTTAGACCGATGACTTACCATCCCTACAAAGCCGAGACGGAGCACGCCAGGTTCTCACCGGAACAGGTTCTCACATGTGCCAAGCGACGTGAGGCATTCGGCGACTCTCATGCAGGGTGCGCTGCATCCTGCTAAGAGAGTTCGGCATAATCCCCTTAATTTCTTGCGTACGGATGACAGATCCGTACGACTCAATCCATTTTAGGGAGCTTCCGCTTCCAGAGGCAGCTGTAAGCACTTAGAAACTGCCTCGAGGGTGTTTGACCAAATTAACATAACGTGTTGCGATTGTCCACTTCGTGCGGAGTGCGGGTTATCGACACCGCACAACATAATGTTCTCGCCCACCAGTCATGGTTACCGCAAAAAAAATAAAAGGAAAATAAAAGCGAAGTTACCAGCTTGTTCTACAACATCGCCGCCAAGCGACGAGGACCCTATCCCTATGGGGAAGACCGAGGGGGGCGAGGTTCATTCACTGCCGTCCCTTCCGGGAACATGCTGCTATTCTGCACCCCTTGCAGGGGACGTAACCTCACGGTATGTGCAAACCGTATTGAAAGAACATTATATGCAATAGCTGCAATCTGCTGTGCACGTGGGGTCTGCTGACCCCCTTTATTATCAAGTGATGTACTGCTGTAGTCTCAAACCAATAATAGTCCGACAGACGTACAAACTATTTTGTCTTGATCCAAAACTTTATTGCGGCGAGACCTCAGGCCAGATTGGAGATCTCGCTTCGCTCGAATAATGACCTTTGGACCACAGTGAGCATGCTAAAACAAAGAACACGCATAGCGAATATAACTTTGGGTTCCTTAACTTAGGCCACATGACGTCGGACTACAAGGTATGATTTTGCCGGCGCCGAGAACCTTCGACATTACCCGTTGGATACAGCAACCCGAAGGGTTGTAGGATATATCAAAATGACTAAGCGCAAGCACCGCCTGCGCTGGTGAAGGACGGTACAGGGTGGCAGCCTGAACGAGAGTTGTTGCATGGGGGCGAACGGCATGAGTTCAATAGTGTGCTATGGACGACGTTTAGGGTTCGTCACCAGAACGACAAACGGACACAATACTGTAACACCATCGGGTGGCTCACTTGTATGTCTGCAGCAGCTGCCGGAGCATCCGGCGCTCATTCGAGATGTCAGATGGGCTGAAGAGTTCGGGTGTGAAGTGCTTCTGCATTCCATCGTCAACCTCTGCTTGAGTAGCGATCGGCCACTCCTGGAGGATATCCTGGCGACAAACATGCGGGGTACGAAGCAATCGTAAAACACAGAACACAACAGCGGGTCAAGGAATTAAAACAGGGTCTCATTGACGCTTCGTCTCCGATCGAGACGAAGGTCAACGAAAACGAAATCGCGCCCATACAAATCACTTAAAACGCCAATTTTCTGAAACGTGGAAAACGCTACCGTGGAAAACGCTACTGACGCCGGCTCTATGCCCAATCAGTCGTCAAGGTGTATCCCCCCCCCCAATCCAAACCACCCACCATGAGGTACACCTACCAAGGTCAAAAAGCGGCTGAAGGGTCTGGTAGAGGCGCCGTCGCGTAGCGCTGTCGTAGCCCTCGTGTTTTGGGACTTGACTTATAGATGAATTAGATGGAGAACTAGCAAAATAATGACAAACGCGACCAAAGCGCCATAGATTTGTACCCCTTAAAGCACAAGCGAGCGTTGGGTTAGTGCACGGGCCCAGCGTGGGTCTCGCCTTTGCGTTGCGTAGGACCAAAATTCCACAGTCGCAGCCATTGCCCTGCTGAGGTGACTCGGTTATCACGAGAGGAAGTAAGTCCTTGTCGACAGTAGCCTCTCCTCGGTCGTTAGAGCTCCACGCCTCCTGAAGGTACCTGACGTTTTCCACACCGTCCACAGGAATGTCGAGTTACACGACGTTAGTCAAACTTGGAATCACATGCAGGGGTCAGGGGTCCGTGGAAAACGATCATTTGGATCAGATACGTACCCTTAGACACAACCAAACTCGGCTACGACAACTGCGACATCTCTTGACGCTACACCAATACGCAAAGTTCAACGTTGCGAGGACGTTGAACTCGACGACATGTTCTTGTAGGATAGGCTATTGCTCAGAATTATTTTCCGGTTAGCCCAGACTCTCTGCACTCCTATAGGGATACCTTATCCACCGGTAAAGAGTTAGATACTCTCAGCCTGGCGAATAAAATCGACCAGTGGGTATTCGATCAGGCCACGTCCTTGTGAGCATATCGCCCCCATGTCAATTGAAAGTGCTATACTGGAGTAATCTTCATCTCCCGCCTGCTCTCTTCGACCCCTGCTGACATGGGAGGCGACCGTAATGGCGAGTCTGTTTGTCTGTCTGACGACCTTTGAAGGCGACAGGGAAGCGTTCAAGAGTTAGTCTCCATCTCTCTGACTCTGTTTCTCTGTGGGTCTCTCTCTCTCTCTCTCACACACACACTCACGCGATAATATTTTCCTGGATCTTGGCAGGATGGTGCGTGCCGAGGGAATCGAAGAACAACATGCACGGCCGGGCGTCGGGGTTCCCATAGCCCACCTTTGCATCGTCGGCATAAAGACGTTGAAAGTATGAAGTGGAGGGATGCAGCTCCCGGCGTGAATGTTTGGTCTGAAGGGGCGTGTCGTGTAGGTTAGGATTAATTGTCGGTTCGTCTAAACGATAGCAAATCCGTTTTGTATCAAGCGACCGGAAACTGGAGCTATTCGTGTAATACAGTAGCTCCCCTGTCCTCGGGACAACAGACCTCATGTCAAGCGCAACTGCTGTATGTAGCAATAGCATGAGTAGCACGTGCCCGTCTACCGCACCCTAGCTAAGGCGATCCCACCTATGACTAGCCGAAAACAAAAAGGTCCGGCTGCGCGCCGCCATCTGCCTTTCGTCTGTCGATCTCTGCGTGGGTGTACACGTCTGGCGACACGCTTTCGGCCCAGCTGCTTCGCATACCTCTCTCTTCACAAGTGGGGGGCACTTTTGGTATATATCGCCATGCAACGGTACATACCGCTATAGTGTCGAGGTTGCAGAGGCACGCAAGGCTCCAGTGCAACCAGCAGTTGACCGGCACGAAGATAAACTTCATGTTGAAGATATCAGCTCCCCGGGTCCAACGCTTAACCTTCCGAAATACCTATAGCGAAAAGGGAACAACGGACGGGACGGGGGGTACATAGTAAGGAAATCGTTAGCATGGAGTCGCGGCCGGTGTGTTATGTTCAAACTTGTGTATTACCGCGCTCTTGCCATACCCGCTAGGGGAGGAGCGTTCTTTGCTTTCTCGATGAAATACTGATTGTCGAAAACCTGCTGGGGAGTTCCGCTTGTTTGGATAAGGCACACATCGAAACGCTTTACTTTGTTCGCGTGATGCGCGCTTCGCTCGACAGACAACAGGGTTACGGCTGCTCTCTCTGCTCCCAAGAGGGAATCATTACACCCCATACCGTAGAGCACACCTTCAAATACCCTGTTCACGTGGTCTGCTGCTTCCATCATCGGGGTGAGGGCGCAGTATCACACCCAACAACTTTCCTGAAGTCTAACGTTGTCTTCCCTCTTAATCCTGTCGCTGTAACCCTCTTCTTCGACCACCCCTTTCGAAAGGTTACCGAGCGCAACTATGATAGGGATAGGTGTGCGCTGAGAGCCAGCACCATCATATACGCCACCTACCCGAAAAAATAGCCGTAAACCATGACATCCGGTCAAGACTCCCCTCGGGGCGATCGTCGTGCGTTGTCGAAGTCATGCACGTTGTCTCCGAGGTATTGCCGGTCTTTTTGAGATGAAAATAAAGCTTCGACCGAAGAGGCACCGGGGGGAGTATGTCATGTTTTTTCTGTGGTGATACACCTAGTGTATGACGCAAGACAGATCTGACGCCGAGGGCGTAATCATGTCGGGAACCAGCATCAAGTAGGAGGAACACGCTGGGACGAAGAGTATAAACATTGTTATGGTACAGGAAAGGTTATACGTCTACAAATAGTAATTTTTTTAATCTAGGCGACGCGTGATTAACTGTGATATCCGTGCGTTGCGTCCTCGCCCCACATGCCCACAGCAGATGCCTTTGTTCGGATAGGTAGACCGTGACGGATTCAAGTTAGAGCCGCAGGCTTCTGAAAAAAAAACTTGGCGTATTGATATTTCGGCGACCACTGACATACTCTGGCCGGCTACATTGCGACCTCCGTCCAGCTGAAAGTAACGGAAACGAACCTGCCTACTAGGTCGGCGACTACCAGCACCACTGCAGTCATGCATCCTCCAATGATCTGACTTATATCCGAGGGCCGTTCGTCTCTCTCGGAGAGCTTGGTGTAGAAAGAACTGGCAAAGATGTGGACCTTGTTGGCGTCGATGGATCCTGCAGACCTCGGCGTGGAACTCGCCACGGCAGTGGTGGCGTCGTCGGCATCGCCTGCAGGAGCGACAGCAACAGGAGCACCACAAGAAGAAGATCCTTCGTCGCCATCTTCTCGAAGGGCGACGCCACCCCCGCTGGCGTTCCGACGCCAGGCGACACCGCCAGGACCAAGAGATTTTCAACTACCATTGCTTGCGGATCCACCGCCGGCATCACGGGTACTCTCGCCGGCATCGCCGCGTGGAACGCCGAAGACACCGTTGCCCCTCTCTACATGCTTGTCTCCGAGCATGCTCCTGCCACGAGAAGGCAGACATTCGTGCAGATGGTGCGGTGTTAGGATGTCGGTTAGTGTGTTTCCGAAACATCAAGATAACCTACAGTATGGTGAAATTGACTCGGGTTTCTGCTGTGTGAGTCCGCCATGCCAGTAGCATAGTGCTACCGAGGTACTACCACGTTTACGTTTAATCGTCGTCATTGTGGTTGCAGTATTAGGTCTAGGATACCGCTAAATATATAGCAGGACTCGACGTAGCCTACTCCCACCCACTGACCTGAGGTACAGATCGACGAGGTTATCGTTCAAAAGTTCTCCGTCATTGGTGCGGCACACATCCAGTGCGTATATCCGGACCTTGTCCGCGAACCTGTCCCCCCCCGCCGCCTTGCCAAGCGGATACTCGAACAAGAACGGGTTAGCTGGTGTAGATGAACGTGCACTAAGCGTCCTCCCGAGACGTTTACAGCGTGCAACGCTTGGTGAAACGGGCGCCAGTACAATTGTATATCCGCCGACATGCACACTAGGGATGGCCCTAGTCCACCACAGCAATGCAGTACGACCCAGCCTGTAGTCACAATCACTAATCGTTACTCTCGCAACACCACCACCGAATAAGGGCCAAAGTTTTGTAGATAACGCCAGCTGCGATTACGACGACGACGTTAGTGTCGAAACAACCCCACTTACATGAACCCAATACCTTGCATGAGAGCTCATGAGAGCTCATGAAAGCTCATGAGCCCATGAGAGCTGATTTAGCTCTCATGGGGTCTCATGACCTCTCATGAGAGCTAGTTAGCTCTCATTGAGAGCTAATTTAGTTCTCATGGGCTCTCATGAGAGCTCATGAGAGCTCGTGGGTTCTTATGAGACTTCTCATGAGAATTTCTTATGAGACTCATCATGAGAAGTCTCAGGAGTTCTCATGAGAGGTCTTATGGGACACTATAGAGACGTCTTATGAGACCCCATGACATTTCTCACGCGAGTTCTCATGAGGTCCCATGAGGTCCCATGGGGTCGCATGAGAACTCTCATTCTTTCTATGAGAATTCGCATATTTTGTTCAAATAATGTACATGACCCGACTGAGGCGTCCGCCGCTGACCGGTTGATCCGGTTGGTCCGATTTCCGCGAGCGGGCGAGACAGACGCACGGCGGCAGTGCATGTAAAAAAAAGTGGTATGTACTCGAAAGAGGTTTTCTGGCAGACCTCTAAGATCCACCCCCGCCCCCGACAATTTAAACGTACAACAGCCCGGGTATGTATATGGGGTAAAGTCTCTGGGCTGAAAAGATGAGGAGATGTTCGACATGTGAGAGGCAAGAGAGAGAATGGGGAATAATGTGGTTGGATGGATGGATGGATGGATGGATGGGGGAGCAGAGGAGAGGAGCGAAATGTGTTCGGGAGAGGGCGAGACAGACAGACGAAGCGAGCGGAAATAGCAGAGAGGTATATATATGTAGCTCTGTGAGAGGCAAAGAGAAAAAATGTGGCTCTTTGAGTGCCCGAGGGAAACGTCTACTGAATGCTCGCGATTTCAGTAACGCGTAACACAGATACGTTTTGTTGCTGCCCGATCGCCGCGCCCGATCGCGGCGGGTGGGAACGCTTCTTCTCCCGGCTGTAGGAATTTTCCCGGGTATCAACACCGTGTGCTGCCTCATGGTCGACAGAAATCCAGTGAGGAGTTGTTCGTTGAAGTCGTTTCGTCTTTTCGCTGTTACTGCACATGAAACAAGGCTCGGTGCTTCACCTGACGGAATGTGTTGTGAAACGTAATTGAGAGCCCTTCAACATCGCCGGCCCACGAAGATTTATACATTGTTCTTCCATGTGGGTCTACGTGCAGATACGGGCCCCTAGCGCTGTCGCCGTGAGGGTCAACATGAATATTTTGTTGTAATTTCGCCAATGGGAAAGCACGGACGACTAACAGGCAAGATTGTGTCATCGTGTGAAAATCAAACATGAACGGAGCAATATGAACGTATGTTACGACAACCCTCTAAATCAGTTTTTTTTTCCGCGAGACGATGCGTTTTCTCGGTGTCAGTCTGGGGACGAAAAGGACCGAGATGTTGCGTCTCATCTTCATGGTGGTAATGGTGTACGTGGTTCGCCAGCTGGGGACACCCCAACACTGTCCACGCCTCACGTCTCATGACTGTGTGATCGTCATAGACCATGACAGCGACTACGTGTGGGCCTGATTCACGCGGGAAGATTGCATTGGTCCTTTCCTTTGTATCTCATACACCATACATTGCAGGCAGTCAACATCTACACGGTATTGCCTCTCTAACGGAGGAGTTCTTCATCTACATGGCCTCACAACGGGCATTTTCGTGCCATATAGGCCCCTATTTTTCCACCGGAAGGGTTTATTTTGGCCTTGGGCAAACTCCTACAATGCTACAATAGTATATTTACGTGTCGCACGTTGTTCGCACGCAGTCGTCATAACTGTCACCAATATGAACGCATGTTCCATAGCTCGACCTGCGGAACATAAGGCCTCGCTTCTACTTACCCGGGTCTCCCGGAAGCCCCTTAAGAGAAACAGAAGAATGACGTATCGTAAAGAACCGTATGCCAACGAAAACCACGAAAAAAGAAAGAGCGCTGATGGCCAAGCACGAGTGACTGATGAAAAAAACAATGCATGCAGAAAACAAAAAAAAGTCTGATAAACACACACCACTTCGAGAGCCGCACCCACACACGTTCGCCACGACCCCGCACCCCTCTCAGAATTACCGCCTACCAAACCAGGACAAGCCTGTTCTCGCGGTGCCACACTCATCAAACTCTGTTCGTACCGGTAGATACATAGGGCTAGAGGCATTTCCCGCTAGAGAAAGTGTACAAGTTATCCAACTGCAGCCCCGCCATGCAATGCTCTAGACGTGGGTAGTAGGGTTGGTCGTGTTGATGGAGGAGCCGCCAGACCGAGGCGAGCTCTTGCCATGTCGGCGAGACACAACCAGCCCAGACGAGTTGGCACTGTCGTTGCAGTTGTAGTTTGACGACCGAGCGTTTCCGCCGCGCTCGTCCATGTCCTTCTCGCGGAGAACGCCGTACAGCACAAACGTGTCGAGAGCGACGTGGATGTATCTGGAGACCCAGGACCAGATCGCGAGGCGCGGCCTTGAGGATCGGTATTCATACACACGAAGGAAAGGGGAACGGTTGAAACATCTCGCAAAGCATTTCTTTCCATGCCTGGCCTACACCACCAAGCCTGTGTGCTCAAGTGCGATGCAAGGCTGGGATTATATTACTTGTTGTGCGATTGTCGCACACCCAGAATCATGGGTGCCTAGTCGTGTACTTCCGAATTGTATACCTGGTCCGCGCTATATACGTACATGGAAAAACGTCGGCGTGACTCGAACACACCGGGGACAAGACTCCGTGCCCATAAACAACCAAACAGTTCAATAGCGTTATTCGACACGGAAGCACTTCCTCAGTACGTACATGAATAACTGCTTCCGAAAAGAACGAAACAGCGTGTTCGACGAACATAGTCGTCTCATACCACTGTAAGTATATATTGCATCGTGATCCGGGCAGTGCACCGGCACAGCGGTTACGGATAGACGTTTTTGGACACCGTGTCCCACATCCTGTCGACTCACTCATCCATATCGCCGATGACGAAAACGGTGCTGCAGATTCCGATACCGATATTGACCGCCGTGCCGAGAAGAGTCAGGCAGAAGTAGTAGCGGATTCGTGCGTCAATCCTCCAGCACTCCTTGACCTCCTTCATCCGGAACAGCAGCAGCCACGCCAAGATGACGAACATGCAGATGCCGACCATGAACTCGAGGAAGAAGATGGAGACGACCACCGCATCGTAGCTCCCCTGAGACGTTGTGTGGGGTAACAATGTTGAAAAATAAGTTTGAGCAAGGACGCAGCAGTAGCAGCGGCATGGGCGCAGCGCGGAAGCGAAGCTGTCGGGACACGACAAATTACCAAAGAAACATCAGGTCAAGCGGGACATCGCACACGGATTTCGAGGAGGTGTGTGGCTGCAGCCCGATGTTGCCACTACAGGCGCCCTGGGCAGGGACTGGTTTTGCCCAGGCAACGCCAGCACAGATCCTAGAGGAAACAAGCTTGCCCCAGGATGGATAATCATCGAAATGAGCCCATTCCCACATTGAACCGATCTGAGGATGGGTGTATGAGATCACAACAATAGCTCATGGTTGGGTGTGTCACATTTGGCGCAGAATATCAGCCGGATCACTCACCATGTGTGTTGTTGAGAAGCACGATGACAGCTAGCCTAGCAGTCAGCGATGACTGACAGGTAGCCCATCCGGCGTATGCTAGCTTGCGTCATGTCACCTACGGTAATCACCTGGTCGGAGTTGACGATCCAGAAGCCTGTCCCAATCACGTACACCGTCTCCCATAGGGGCACCGTGACAGACGTAATGCCTATGGAGATGGCCAGTAACAGCGACAGAAGCCAGGGCGAGCTGACGCTCTGAACACGCGTCAGCGTCCGGTGAGACTGCACCCGTGAACAAAACATGATAACCGTGCGTGGGAGGCGGGGGGAAGCCATCGGGGACATCAAACAAGTTAGCGGAGGGACAGAAACCAAAATAAAAGCGCGCACCACAAATTAGTTTACAGCGCGAGACAGCGTACAGTAGTAGTCCTAGAAGGATGCGGCTAGTACTACATGTGGACTAAACACCTACATATCTGATATAGAGTTAGCGCCCGCGTGTAAGAAACGCCAATTTCCGGTTCAGCCTCAAATTCTTGTTGTGGGCCGAAAACTCAAGGTGCGGTGTCCAATTTCTCATGTCAACTGTCTTATTTTTTCGTGCTGCAGAATCCTGTTGAATTCCTTGTTCTATTCTTGCTTACACCACGTTATAGATACAAAACAAACGATTCGCGTTGCTTTCCTCGCCTCCGTACTCAAAACCCCGATTCTCACCACCGAGGGTTGTACATACGAAGACCACACCCTATAGAAGCGAAAAAAGCATTCAGCTGCAACGTCTCGCTGTCGCTTCAAGGTCCTGTACCCCCCCCATGATTGAGGGCTGAAAGGCTGACTTAGTAAAATGAATGAACACCGCTCCTGTTTTCTTATTGAGACATTTCTTACATTGTGGCCGAGATTGAGCGAAGTTTCTTAACCCTATTCTCATATTTTTTGTCGAAGCTATTTGAACCTTTGTTTCTTAAAAACGTTTCTTAATCGCGGGCGCTAACTGTACACCCAGGTGAGGACGTGGGTGGCTCATACGTGGGACTGCAAGTGGCAACTACGGTACGGTTCTACATTTGGATCGATCGGTCGGTCTATGTGATCGCCCGTTTGCCAAGATAAACCTTTCTTCTAGGTAATTGCGTATTTGCAAGCCAACGCTCAGAATCGCAACAACGGAGTTGTGACGTTTGGCCTAAACAAAGGGGACATCACCAACGAAGACAATAACTACTCTTTGCACTATCTTTTGAAATGAGTAGACTCTCGGCCGGGTTTGTGCATCATCGCAGCAATTATCGAAACACAATGATCTCACCGAGACGATGAGGGCCAGGTTGACACAGATGGCCAGGTGGGTGATTGCCATCATGTTGGAAGAAACAAACTCGATGAACTTGACGGCCTTGATGAAGCCAATGAGATCGCTCTCGGTCCAGCAGACGGTCACCATCATGTCTTCCACGACGAAGCACAGCCCCCACACCAACCCGCTGTTTGGGTGGAGAAAACGTAGCAGCAGCGACGAGGAGGTGTCGGTGAGTAGAGCAGCGACGACAGGCACAATTGTGGGTGCTGTCGCCCACATTCGGGCATTGGAGGGTAAGGTACGCAGGCAAGCGTCGCATCACAAATCGTACTGTTGATGACGTCACCGGGCCATCTCGATAACAGGGAAAGGCGCAGTGCCCACGATCAGGACCGCCTTAACGAGAAGATATGTTCATGAGGAAATAGAACAGGGAGGGGGGACGCAGACCCTATCGCTAACGCTAGCCCTATCCTTAGTCCTAGAACGAAAAACACTTGAACATCCGCGAACCTGAGCAAGGATACCCCCATAAGAAAATGATATAACCTCTCAAAAGAAACAGGCCATCTCGAATCAAATGTACTCCAAGTAGGACGTTTGTTTTTCGAGCATCGATTGCCGACTGCGTGCAATCATGTAGGTACGAATACCTCTGCCCCGCATCCAAACACAGCCGTGCATGCCGTAGTCGTTAGACCATTGACCTCGCATCCCTACAAAGCCGGGACGGAACACGCCGGGTTCTCACCGGACCAGGCTCTCACATCGCCAAGCTCGAAGCGCCGTGAGGCATTCGGCGAGTCGCATGAAGGGTGCGCTGCATCCTGCTAAGGGTGTTCAGCATCTTGTGCTTACTTCTTTGCGTACGGATGACAGCTGCGTATGACATAGTTTTTTTTCTGGTGCTTTTACTTCCAGAGACAGTTATAAACACTGTGTAACTGCCTCAAGGGTGCTTGACCGATTTAACACAACGTGGTGCGAATATCCCCTTTGCGCGGAGTGAGGGTTCTCGACCCCGCACAACATAACCTACTCGACCACCATTCATGGTTACCGCAAAACAAAAAAAGAGGCAAAAAAAAAGGGGTAACCTGGTTGCTGAGCTCACGATTTGATCGGCTCGTTTTGCAACATTGCTCGCAAGCGACGAAAACCCAACCCCGATGACAAAATTAACACAACCTCCTCGCCCAAGGTGTACCTGAAGTCAACGCATGCATCAAATCGCATCCTAAATACGGTACACGAACGAGTGCGACTGGACATACATGCTCACGTGGCGGCAAGATGTGTCCTTAAGACCTCGCAATACTTCGTCCTTGTGTTTATGTGGCGGCGTGCAATGTCCATCCACTTCGTGGAAGGGTGCGTTTTTTTTCAGGGATGTAAGTTTCCGCGATTTTTTAAGTTTCCGACCGGAAATTACCGCAAGTCAGACTTTGGAGTTTCCGACCGGTAATGTCCGCTCTTGCCGGGGACAAAAAATTCCCCATCCCCGGGGTGGTATACAACGTATAGTTTGGAATTTTTTCAGGAGGAAGCAGCTCGCTGTGTGCTGTTGCTATGTGCCGTGTATTCGCTGTCACTGCTGGTGCTGCTGCTGCCTGTCATTTCCCCTCCTACTAGTTACTATTCTGCTCTGCTGTACTCTCTCTTCCATGATTCATTTGTTTTTATTTGTTTATTTCTTATTTTCGGTAGGGAAGGTATCCGGCTGTGTTCTATACTCGATACCCTATACTCCTGCGCACAACCAAAAAATAAGCAGAGGAAAAGGAGAAGAGACATGACAAAAAAAAAGGGAGCAGGAAAGGGAGTGGAAGCCCTATCTCCCTATCAGCTCAACGTCTCAAAATGTGTGCATTGAGCAAAAGTTTTCACCTATTTCAACAACCAAACATATACATATAAACACGACCCCCCCCACCCCGGCTGCGGACCCCCGGAAATATGGAAAAGTTTCCGCGATTTTTTAAGTTTCCGACCGCTCAACTTAGTTGCCGGAAATTTCCGGTACCGGGAAACTTACATCCCTGTTTTTTTTCTCTTTTTGTTCGTGGGAGGTTGCGTGTGAGTGGCCAGATTCTCGGATCAAGCCGTGTCCAGTTCATTTTAGCGGCCGCACACGCACTTTCATGTGCTTTGGGGGTGCGGTATTCCCCTACGTTAATACCTGCCCCGGGAGAGTTATACCATTGGTGCTACGGTACACGTGCAACAGTTTCACGGGGGAGAGGGGCAACGACGGTTTTCATGACGTGCTTATGTCCGTTGTCTCAACGCTCGGGAAGGACTGATACTCTCCAAGTTTTTCGTAAGTATTTCTTACGTGCGGGCCGGCACTGTACCGTTAGCACTGTACAAAATAGGTGTGGTTTCGTTTGGTGTGATGGGTGAAAAGTTGGACGCCTCCTCATGCGGTCGTCTGTACACACTCAAGTACAGCCCCCATCCCACCATTTTCCACCTCTGCTCTTGAAGCATATATGCCCCTCTTGAAGCATATATGCCGCTGCAATAGCGCGGGTTAGGTGCGTTCGTCATGATGATGGTCGTTTTTCTCCGTGTGGTGGAAATCTACAAAGGTACAACAGTACGCCACGACAACGCCGGTTTCTCCAGACCATCTAAATTCTAATACACACACCACAATCGATGTAGTTTAGACTTTGTTGTCCTACAGCAGCAGCCTAGACTTCGAATATTTTGGTCCCGAGGGCAGGGCGAAGCGGATTTCCAGCAGGCCACAACGTATTTTTACCGCCATCAGTCGTGCTCCTTTATGTTGGAATCTTTGAATCTTTGATGTGCCGAAGAGGACTGACTCCACGATCGGGGGTGGTGCAAGAGGGTGAACGGGGCAGCCCATTGCTCCCATCAAAGTCTGAGTCCCAATCCAAGTCACCACGGTGAACTCGTGTTGTTGGTGGGCAGTACGGAGGAGATAGAGAGCCAGTTGGAGAGGGATATGGTGTGGAGTTACACCTACGTACAGCAGAGAGCTGCAGGATGGTGATGATGGTGGTTCGAACAGATTTATTTCCGGTTCCCGAAGTTACGCAAGCCTTGCGCGCCGCTTGCTGAGAGAGAGGGGTAACATATTTGACCTACACAAACCTCGACGACTACACAAGTACGCCGGAGAGCACATGTTGCTACAGCCGCACACGCACCTTTGAAGCGATTCCGTGCGCACATGATTTCGCCTTCATCAGAACCCTTCTCTCCCGCAGGGGGCGAGACAACAAGAAGACGGGCCAATAAATATGTTTCTCTTTAACCAAGCAGATAAAAAGAGGTTCCGGTACTACCTCACTGGTTGCGACAGTTCCGCGACGCTGGTGCAGGGTTAGATATGATATGTCTCTGTGACAGAATATATTAGCATGTTCTCATGTGTGTTTACCGGCGCCCAAATGAACAGCAGATCGTCTAGGCAACTAGGCGATCTGGTACGCCACCTGGTATGCTCATGCTGTAGATGCGTCCGCTGACGATTTACTTCCCAATTTTCCTTCTCATAAAGAAACAAGAACAATATCAACCCACACCGTACCTGAGCCAGTGCGCGAAGAAAAGGCTGAGCCGCTTGACCTTGGTCCAGCTGCACCACGCGCTGACGACGCTCACCGAGACCAGAGTCGAAAGCACGCGTATCGGCGTGATCTTGTCTTCCCCTTCCTGGAGTCCGATCGCCGTGAAGCCAGTCTCGCACGAGAGGATGGTTGGCATGCTGTCGTCGTCCGTTGCCCTCTGCTGGCCGGTCCCGTCCTCGCCCTGCCAATGCCGATGATGCCCCCGCTCCTCGTCACGAAGAACTAACTGTGTTGGTCACACTTCTCTGAGGGTATCTTTTCCAAGTCTCTCGCTCGGTTAGTTGATTATTACAGCAGTACGTGCGGTGCCAGCTGTCGGTGTGTTGTGCCCTCTCCTGCTGTGTGGTGCCTTACCTCGCTCGCCTCTGAAATGTCCGATCCATCTCGGCTTTTTACGAGTATATTCTGCATCTTTTTTTTTTATATGCATAGATCCGCCTCTTTGTTCGCACCACATGGACTGCCAATTCCCCCGCTCTACTCCACCTTACTCAACGGCTGCTACCAAACCCCTGCTGACAGCTACGTACCTACACCCGCACGCGTCGGAGAGACTCATTACCCCAGACCCCAGTCTACACAGACTCTCCATCACACAGACAGGAGCATGGGTTTGAAAATATGTTCGAAGGGACAACATTCCATTGGTAGCCGCGCGGCCCAACTCTAATATTTTCGGCACCAGGCACCAGGCACCAGGCACCAGGCACCAGGCACCAGGCACCAGGCACCAGGCACCACGAGGCGTGTTTTAGTCACTCGGGTGCGTTTCGGATTTTTGCGGCGTCGATCACAACCTCCTTCAACCACAGGGCCGGCCGGATGGTGGATTCTCTGCAACATAGATACATCGTCTCCAATGTGTACGTGATGATATCTACAATAAAAATGGAATTGCGAGAGATAATAATATCGGTGGGCTCTATCTGGCTGTCAAGCACCAGCAGACAGAGTGTTTTGAAGCTTTGAACCCTCCTCGCACTAAAAAATAAACCCACCGACCGGCACAAGGGACAATACGGTTGGCTCGTTCTGTGTATGAATCGGGTGCTGGCGGCGAGGGGAATAAATGCGCGCGCGTGAATACAGCACGCATCGCTCTCTACATACCTCGGTTGGATATAGTCCTCGAAGGGGGGCAGACCAATGCATGTGATGTGAATATTCGAGGCTTTATTTCTGGTACGTATGGGCCTGTTCGGTAAGAGAAGAAGTCATTCCTGCTGTGTGCATTCACGCGAATCGACGCATACTATTTTGTGCTCTTGGAAACAACAGTGAAAGGACTCCCCCGCTGACCCGTCTGCACAGTTTGATGGGAGAGCAATCAGGTGGCAAGTATTTACCCTTCGGTTGCGCGGGTGCTGCATTCATACCTCCACCACGCGCTACTTTTTGCTTTACGCGTGAAACATCTGATGATTTAGTCTATACAGAACGCGCCAACCGTGCCTGCTGTCTTCCCGAAACAAATTTACAAAATACACAAAAAAAGAAGTAGGAACAGGTGACGGTAGTCTTTGCGTCGTACCAGGTCGAGGGCAACGGAGCTTCCAACTGCTTTATAGAGACCTTCAAAGGACTATTTAGTCACTATACCGTAGGTTGTTTAAGACGTCACACCCCCCGGACCAATTTTCAAAGCTCGGTTACCCCCACGAGAGCGCGAGGATGCCGAAATCAAAAGGATACGTTTTCCGAAAGCTCTCGACGGGACGGTTCCAACGCGGCCATTTTCGGCACCGTCACTGCTTCTCTTGCCGAGAAATGGAGCTTCGAAAATCGGTCCAGGGGGTGGGATATCTTACGCAACCTACGGTATCATCGTGAAGGGCAAAAAAATCTTCTTAGTGATCGACGGGTTGTGGATCAACATCCAATCTTCGTCGTGCCAAAGTGTAATTGATCCAAGACGGGGCGACCGACGGGTGGGTGCAAAGTCCAAGAAAAGAGGCAATACTGTAAGCGAGCCAAACGTAACATTGGTGGCAAACAACCAACAAAGAAACGAAGTATCGATCTATCTCCGTTTTATGGGGGGGTGCGCAGTACCGCTGGCCTGCGTGTCCTAGGCCGCCCACATGTTATCCAAACACTACCAAACGGAGCCGCCTCAGAGATAGTCGTTCCTCCTAGAAACGTTCTGCCCACAACACCAAAACTGCGTCATATCATCGAGTCACACGCCCTTTCGTGTGCAGGTGTACGCGTGCGCACCCTATCAAAGCATGATTAAACACCGTACGTTACACAGATACCCTCACCGCGTGCCTGATGCACATATAGTGTCCTTGTTTAAGGCACGCCAAAATCTACGAAGGTGGTCGACACCAACTGCACTCCCTTAAGGCCTTAAACTAACCCGGTTCCAACGCCTTGCTTGTTTGGAGACAAGCCTAATCTTCCAAGTCGGTCGACACCCGAACTCTCGCTTGAGAGCCGGAACCTCGTTCCGAACGCCTCGCTTGTCAGGAGACAAGCCACGCCTAAGACGTCGGTCCACACCCGAGCTCTCGGCTTGAGAGCCCCAACCTTAACAAGTCATTCTCCGAACGGAGAACGGATACCTACGCCGAGGGGCTGGCGACAGCTTTCTGTCGGCGTTCTTCAAGCCAACGGGAAGAAGGTGGCATGCGTCAACAATTACCAACGTAGCACCGTTGATGGTGTTCGTTGGCTTGCAACGCCAGCACGGCCGACCATGTTTACGCAGAGAATTGAAGAAGCCAAGTCCACTAACAACCCATGTGTGTGTGTGTCGTAATTTCGGTAACAACACGTCAATGTATCATAAATACCGTGTTCTTTTCACACATCCTCCGTGGAAAGGTGTTGTAGACTAGTGGCTGTACTTTCCTATGGGACGACTGGCCGGAATACAGGAGACGGCACAAACACACACAAAACTGGTTGTCGGCACATACACATATCACAAACAAAGGCAGTTCTTACAAGATAGACAGGACACGCCAGCACTTAAAGAACTCGGCAGTCAGTGGAGAAATTGATATAGCTGGAAAAAACTCATACAAATTCTTGGAACTTGAGCGCCATTTGTGACCTCGGTTAAGAACACCACACACTAAAACATACATATGTAGTGGGGATTCGTAGCATGACCCCAGGGCTACAGTAACAACCCCACCCTCGGGCAAAACTCTTGGCAGAGGTTTTAAGCGCGGTCGCTACCCCTACACTAATCATATTCATTCGCTGACAACACGCGTACAACACTCAACCTAACGGAACGTCGAGAAAGCTCACGAGATTCTACGTACGTACGTCGTGCTTACACAGAAGACAGAGCGGCCGCCGTCGGCATAGATTACGTTGCGGGTCAACCACCAGCCCCCAGCAGCTCCTAGGCGCATGGCGTAACAAACCACCCAAACAACTCGAGACTGGACAAGTCCGCACGAATGTGCTTGACAGGTGAATGCACAAGGCAAAAAGCATTACCAATTCCCCTCCGTTGTATATATCGGGGAAGATTACACACAAGTATCCGTATTTGTTCTGTATGGGGAGGAAAAGTGCACAGTGCACAAGTTTTTTCCCTAGTCCTCTTCTTCCGAAGTCTAGACAGGGGTCGGGGTAAAGGTAGGATTGGTCGCCATGTAATGACCGCCTGACCCACGGTCGTCCTTGACATGTCCACCGTGCAGGGTCGAGGGAGGCGGGACACCGACGGTGCTGTTGCTGTTTATGTCGGACGGCCGAGCGTTTCCAACGCGCTCATCCATGTCCTTCTCACGGAGAACGCCGTAAAGCACGAACGTATCGAGCGCGATGTGAATGTATCGGAAGACCCAGGCCCAGATCGCCAGCCGGGTCCTTGAAATATCGTCATCGAAATCGCAGCCAAGGGTCGAGACGTACGCGCGGCGCGCAGGGGTGATTGTTTTGTTTGTTTGTTTGTTTGTTGTTGTCGTTATTGTTGTTGTCGGTGGTGTTTTGTTATTGTTCTTGATGTTGTTGTGTACCCTTGACACTAAAAATCGTTCCGATTTCCGCTCAGTGCCTTTTTCTTCAAAGTTCCAAAAATTCCCGTCTTGGTCCACCTGACGCGGACACCTTCCGTGGTGTGTATGCGAAAACTCGTGTTTTTCTCCTGCCTACTTCGGGTACTTTTTATTTGAGTACACCTTTTTGGGGTAAGTTAGCCTGTGACCACCGGACCCGACATCGTCTCAAGTGTTAGATCAGTGCGGGCAGGGGATGGTACTGGGTAGAGAGCTCGGAACGGTTTTTCATGTGAAGAAAACAACAACGACCAGTAACCAAGGCTTTTGATATCGATTATTGCGAGACCGAACAAAACAAATGTCGTGATTGTGAATAAGACGTCGGTGTGGGTCGCCAACTGCCATGGACAAGACTCATGGAGCATGCATCAAGCTACGATTGAGAGTACATAATACTTCAGACCGAGGGGAGCATGTCCTTCATGTCTTGATACGTGCTCCCGAAAGCAATATATGTAGCACAACCGAGGAAAAATTAACCTACCATCGGAAGGCGCCCAAGTCAGTGGGAGCAGTACGGAGATTTGAAAGTTCCGAGTAGAAAGATCGAAACGATTTTCAAAGCCAAGGCTACAACAACAACAATATGAAGTCTATATCATGATTTTGGAAGGATATAGTACACCGGCCCAGGGGTTAGGTACGGGTAGGCAGGTTCAGAACGGGTGATCGAAATAGACCCCGTAGGTCATGCCCTTCCCTATCGCCCCACTGCTCCCATGGGCGTTGAGACAGATCTAAGCTCAGCCCTTTTGACAAACTGCTTCAATGATAGGCGTTGAGACAGATCTACGTAGATCAGCCCTTTCGACTAACCGCAACCGCTTCAATGGGCACTGACACAGATCTACGGAGATCTCGCGGGTCAGACCCTATCGACTCACTGCTTCAACCCGCCCAAGACGAAGACGGTGCTGCAGATTCCGATGCTAAGACTGATGCCCGTGCCTAGAACAGTCAGGCAGAGGTAGTAGCGGATCCTTGCGTGGATCCTCCAGCACTCTTTGACCTCCTTCAGGCGGAACAGCAGGAGCCACGCCACGATGACGAACATGCAGAGCCCGACGATGAACTCGAGGAAGAAGATGGAGACCACCACAGCATCGTACTTCCCCTGAAGTATTTGTGTGGCGTACACATGGGTTCATGTTTCAATCAAGTGGGGCGGGAGGAGGAAATGTGCGTGGTGTAGGACGGAAAGGAAGGAGTCGGGACAGACGGCGAAGACCCAGTACGACACGACAAATTTTCCCAAGAACCATTAGGCCAAGCCGCACACGGCGCACGGCTGCTTAGGAGGTGGACTTGTTGATGTTGTTGTTCTCTTAACATTGAACCCATGTCAGTTGCTAATCCCAAAATCCAGCAAAGAATCGGTCCGCGGTCACAAAAATGCTGGATAGAGCCATCAGAAGTGGGTAAGTTGATTTGATTCTTGGTTCTGAGGCAACATCGCCGGCAAGGCTTCCTTGGTGGTAGCATGCATCGTTTATTTTATTTTTTTCATCGTTTGCACGCGGGTGACGGCTTCTTCGGGATTCGTTCCCGTCCCCCTATCGCCTTCTCCCTCTCTGTCTATGGCTACAATTTTCTCGCATATGCTTTCTTCGCTCTCTCGGAGCCAAGGCAGACAAGGCGAGCGCTAGGCGGTCGACATCACTTCTTTCTGTAGAAGGAAACGTGACCAAAATAGTAACGATTTCGAATATAACGACGCCCTCTCCCACATTATGTCGAAAACATTTTCTGATCGAGGAATACGGAACGGTCGAAGAAATATTGCTCCATGTAGTTGGCCTTCCTACAGACGAAAGACAACCAAACGCCAAGCCTACTGTAGGACGTCAAAACAGAAGCACTAGCAGCAAAACAAACGCCTCTCACGGATGCTGTCGAAATTTTCTTGACCTTACAGTAAGCGGTTGCACTCAAGAACCTCCGCTTACGAATACTAGTTTTTGTTTTACGCCGGGGTGCTTTCAATTGTTCCAACGGTCTATGTGACAAGAAACACTCGATTTCTCGACGGCGGAAGGAGGGGCGGTGCCGACAATCTCGACCTTGGTACAGTCTCGTCGAGATCATTTCCGTGATTGTACCATCACTATGATATTACATCTTCTCCCGTTGTGGAGTGCAGTAGTACCGTATACGACACAAGATAACACCCCCCCTGAACCGGTTTTCAAAGCTCGGTTACTCCACGACCAAGAGGATGCACAAACGAAGCGATACGTTTTCGGCGAGCTCTCGAACAGACGGCTCCAACGCCGCCGTTTTCGGCGCTGCGGCTCTTTCTGCTGAAAATAAATCGAGCTTTGAAACTCGGTCCAGGGGGTTTGTTGTCTTGCGTCATGTAACTACGGTAGGTACCTGGTCGGAGTTGACGATCCAGAAGCTGGTCCCGACCACGATCACGGTCTCCCATAAGGGTACCGTGGCTGCCGTCATCCCCATGGAGATGGCCAGCATCAGCGTCAGGAGTCCCGGCGAGCTGACGCTCTGGACACGCTTGAGCGTCCGGTGGGACTGCGCGTGTGAATAACACATGATAAACACGGCGTGCGCAGAAAGACGTTGACCGGAAACAAACGGGGAGAAAGAAGAAAGTTCGTTAGTTAGCGGGGTGACAGAAAACAAAACGGAAGCGCGCACCACAACTACCGTATACGACACAAGAGAACACACACCCTGGACCGACTTTCAAAGCTTGATTACTCCACGGCGAAGAGGATGCACAAACGAAAGGATACGTTTTCGGAAAACTCTCGACAAGGCGGCGTCAATGACACCATTTTCGGCGCTGTGACTCTCTCTGCTGTGGAGAAATCGAGCTTTGAAAATCGGACCACGGGGTGTGTTATCTTGTGTCGTATTCGGTAGTGGACACGACGAGACAGTCTACAGTACGGTGGTGGCCCCGGTGAAGCGGTCCACAGTGTCACAAAAATTGAATGACGGCTACTGAGGGTATCGCTGCTAAACCGGACTGGCAGTCATAAAGTAGTTAGGACTACCGACGCGCACCCGTGCCACCAGGTTTTGGAACCACTATTCAGGGCATCCATCCCGCTATACAGGGAACCGGTAAACCGGGACCACGACTGTAGCTCGCAGGACTCGGCTAGTACATACTTCAATACATCTCTATCTGATGGTATGCACCCTGGTGGAGACGACATACGCCACCGGGTAGAAAGGGCGCACAGGTCAGGCGCGTTGTCTACATGGCCCAGTTTTCCCTAAAAGTCTCGGAATCTATACCCCATGTAGGGAACTTTGCAAACCGGCTTCGAAGGCAAAAAAATAGAAAAGTAAAGAAAATTGGAACCCATATTCCGACGTGTTTGGGCCCTACTCACTTCCCAGTTTTTCGATGGCTTCCAATTGTTGGGGAAGCCAAACCTTTGGAAAAATCAGTCACGCATAAAGCGCCCGTTGGCGAGGGGGGGGCAGAAAACGAAACGATATCGGGCACCACAACTACCAGAGGTGACGAAAGGAGGTGCCACACCCCTGGGACGAACTCTCAAAGCTCGAATACTCCACGCCAAAGAGGATGGGTGCGTCAAAACGACTGCGTTTTCGGCAGTACCGCAAGAGGCGGAGAGATGGCACCCCCCCCATAGACCGACTTTCAAGGCTCGATTGCTCCTCAACCAAGACTAAGCCAACACCGAAAGTGATGGTTTTGGAAAGAACAAAACAAAAAGCCTCGTTTTTCCGTCCAAGTATCGAGCTCGTTCGGGTCCACCTTCGTTGTGGAGCATTCGAACTTTGAAAGTCGGTCTAGGGGGGGTGCCATCTCTCCGACTCTTACGGAATACCACGGTACGGTATACGGTACGGTGCATACAATCTTGGTTGTGGAGCAATCGAGCTCCGAAAGGCGGTCTATGGGGGGGGTGCCATCTCTCCACCTATTACGGTGTTCCGTGAAAGATCACCTTCATCCCCGAGTGCGGGAAATCAAGCTGTTACCGGGTAGGTGACGTTCACGGCCCGTTCGTGGAAGATGGCCAAAATAGATAAGAATAGTGGCTGGCCTATCTTCGGGATAAGCGACAAGATACACGTATCATTACACGCATGTCTGTAACTGAAGTGCACTCTCCGGCTTCGTGCACACATACGGGGTGGGAGGATACACGAATTAGATGCCTAATCGCTGCAACGAGATGTTGGAAACACATACTGGAAGGGTGTTTCTTGCATCAAAGCAAAGATCGGAACACAATCATCTTACCGAGACAATAAGGGCCAGGTTGACGCAGATGGCGAGGTGCGTGAGGGCCAGCATGTGGGAAGAAGCCAGTTCGACGAACTTGACGGTCTTGATCAGGTCCTCGAGATTTTTCCCGGCCCAGCAGACCGTCACCATCATGTCTTCTACAAGCCAACACAGGCTCCATATGATCCCGCTGTTTGGTGCGTGGAAACGGTTCAGGGCAGCAGCAACAACAACGTGGAAGAGAAACACTGCCGCTTAGCGGAGTAGCGAGTGTGGCAATATTTGAAATGCAGCAACGTAGAAGAGCGACTCCCTTCATAGAGCAGCGAGCAAGGGTAACGGTTGTGGGCACCGATCCGATGTCGCCGACATGAAAGCGTGCGAGGGAATTGAGCATGCCCTCCGTGACGACTCGGTACACTTCGCGTCACGGCACCATCATCGTGGATAGGAAAGCACGCAGGCTGTGCTCAATCACTCACGTTGTTACCGGCTGGCTGGGAGAGAACATACATACACCGCTCGGTCGGAAACATGGTCTCTACCGCTACTCTGGGCAGCCGCGATGGGTACACCCGGTAGACAAGGGCAGGGGGGGGGGGGGGGCAAGGACGAGTAGACGTGACCATTGACCAACATGTGCAAGTTGCTAAGCTACTGTTGTTGCGGCAACGACTTCCTGGGTCCCCTGCGTGCAGGTGTGTTTAATATTTTGTGGTAAGCTCTCGTCGCAGCTACATTTGCCGACAGCCCCGTCAGCGTGTGTAAACACATTGCGCTAGGCTGTCGTCGTTGCAGCAACGATTGCCGATTGCCCAGGGCGTGTCTTTATCGTTGCCATCGATCGCACAGACCGGCTGACACGAAGAAAAGACGTCAGTCTCATCTCAATGCTTTTTAAAACCGAAAGCATTCTTCCAGGCCATGATCTGTGGCCTACCAGTTTGTGTGTGTGTGGTTCTTGAGTTTGCCTGTATCATCACGCTAACCGTCTGGTCATGAAAATGACGAATGTCATATTGCAGGCGAAAACACGCGAACACGCTTCCAATGACAAGGGGAGGGCGCCGGAGTTGCGCGAGTGTGCGCACAACCGTTTTTTCTAACCCGACCCCCATCAAAACAAGCAGGGGGATATTGAGAGGGTACGGGGGGGGGTGTACTCATAGCCGTGCATGCCGTAGTCGCTAGACCATTGACCTCGCATCCCTACAAAGCCGGGACGGAGCACGCCGGGTTCTCACCGGACCAGGCTCTCACATCACCAAGCACGAAGCGCCGTGAGGTATTGGCGAGTGGCATGAAGGGTGCGCTGCATCCTGCTAAGGGTGTTCGGCATCTTGTGCTTACGTCCTTGCGTATGGATGACAGCTGCGCATAACTTAATATATTTTCTGGTGCTTTCACTTCCAGAGACAGTTGTAAGCGCTATGTAACTGCCTCGAGGGTGCTTGACCAATAACAGCGGTAGGTAGTGACGAGAGGTTTTAGTGCCGCTCTATATTGAGGGCAGTGCCGTTATTCTTGATAGGGATTGTATACGTGGTGCTGAGAAATGTACTTGTGCCAAGCGATTTCGGTGCCGCTATAGAGAGCATTCCGCTATTGAGGGTACACCGTTTTTGAGGACCGCCGACTGTACACAGGAGAAGGAGGGCCATCACACCGCTGCCTTGCGGTACCTGTAACCCCCAGGGAGCGGAGAAACCACTGTTTGATGCTCGGAGACCGTAGAAACGCAGGCACATCGGTCGCAACACGCAAACAACACATGTGCTATGAATCCATTGCTGCTGCTATAGATTGTCCTGGGCTCTCATGGATCGAGATCAACGACTGCAGATTTACCTTAACAAGAAATCAAACAATTGCGTACATATAGATCAATTGTACAATATATTGTACGTTGTATTTTTCTGGTTCATCCCGCCGCGCTTGAGAAAAATCGGTCACAGAAATTAGACAGGCCCCGGGTGTTTTGAAATGCAACGGCAAGGTGAATGTGGCTTGAAAGATCCGTCACTACACCAGCACTGCTCAGCAAGCGGTGGATCCGTCACTACACGGACAACGCCCGCACTTCCGGCTATCTGTGTAGAATAACCTCTCCCTGGTAGGTTTTGCCGAGGATGGGGTTCTTATTTTTTTTTGCTGATCATCCTCTTGTGGGCTACAAATAGCCGAAATTATATAGGTTTTAGTGTGGTTCTAAATCGGGCTCACAAATCCTTGATATATATCTGAATCATCATCTTGATTGACCACATGAAGTTCTTAGCAGCGATGTTCTTGAGAGCGGATGCCACAGCAAGTATCTACATACTTCTAGTTATAATGCAAGCCAATCTCCGCCGCTGAAGGGGGGCGACGAAAAAACAAGGAACACGTTGAGCCTCGACCGCGATTATTTGGCCTTTTTCATATATCTACTATCCCCGGGCGCCTCTTTTTCAGAGATAGGCACAGACACATAAAAACAGCCGTCAAACTGGAGGAGTCCACGATTGGTTGGAGTGCACAACGTTCACGGAATTTTTCCACAAAACCATCTTGGGAAAAGAAAAGAAGAAAGTACTTCGAAGTATGGATGGATATGATGAATGCTGCTGACCTCTTGTACGGGGCGGCAAGCGATCGTTGTATGTATGCGTCATGCATGTGGAAACAAGAATAATAACAATAATAATAGATGATGGATGGATGGACAAGCTGCCACGTTCAGCGGCACATGCCTGGCCGAAAACAGATCTCCACAAGTAAGTACCCTATTGTACTGTCTTGAGCTATCAAACAAAATCAAGCATCGGTATAGTAGGTGCTCGGCTTGCCGCAAACCTCTCGCAAAACACTATCACGAAACAGCAACCGGTTTCCTGAATGGTTCCTAGACGGGGGCGATTCCGGCGCGGTACATGTACGAAAACGACGCTTGCTTGTAATCCGCCGATTATTTGGCGTTCTCTGATTGTTTCGCAAACACAAATGAATGCATTTTTCGTCGTCGATCCACTTGTTCTTGAACGCCGGCACGTTAATTGCATCCGCGCACACAACTAACTTTCAAACGATCACTTTGCACCTTACTGTGTCTGGGCTACATGTACTGTATGTACGAAAGCGCATATTATTGTGGGTTGAGTACAGTATGTAGTATATGCAGAACACACACGTCGTCGTCGCAAGGCGGGGCCGGGTGATGGTGATCAAGGAACACAGGAAAGACCGGCGTCCTCCTGGCGACCCCAACGTTCCGTTGCGTGTACCTGCATCCGATGCAAATGCCCTCCTTGCACCAACACAGGGAGCAAGTAAGCACACAACTTGCTTGTAGGCGCAACTGGCATCATCAGCGCGTGTGTGTTCTACGGACCGAAAAAAAAATGAACCGGCGGTTGAAATGAGCGCAGGCGGCCACCAGACGGGAAGTACCACACACACATGCGCTGATTATGCACATCCACCTGATGTATTCTACGCCCCAACACTACTCCGTGTTGTGGAGCGAAATGGACAAAGAACAAATATACATCTAACAATCTGTCTGTATGTGTGCTCGGAAACTGCCGAGGTGGTACTGCAAAAAACATATAGAGCACCTATACTACTGCTGTACCTGAGCCAGTGGGAGAAGAACAGACTGAGCCTGCTGATCTTTCTCCAGCTGCACCACGCACTAACGATGGTCACAGAGATGAGAGTTGAGAGTATGCGTATCGGGGCTTGGACGGCTTCCCCGTTCTGTAACCCGGGCGCTCTGAAGCCCGTCTCGCAAGTCAGGATGGACGACATGATGGTTGCTCCTCGCCTGCGCCTCGTTTCAGTTTGGAAATAGTTGCCTGTTCGCAGTGCGCAGACCTTCCTTGTGCGGCCTCCGCACGCACCCGCCGCCGACGCTTCCTCTCACGCCAGAACGTGCGGACGTTTGTGGTTTCGGTTCCCAGTCTCTCGCGTAATGGACCAATTGGTGGTGGGACCTAGAGTGAACTTGGCCTGCTGGCGCCCAAGTTGGTGCTTACTGATCTCCTTGTGCCACACACACACCCCGGTGATGTGTCTCTTCGGAGGCGAAAGTAGATCGATTACTCCGCATTTTTTTTTTATGTGGGGTGGCAATCTGGTGAATCTGGTGCCCCCCCCCAACTTCTCATGTTATATCATTAAGGAATAATAAAATCTCATGTACGGGGCGGTACGTGCAGTATGGATATGTTTCCCCGCGTTTTGCCATATCTCCACCAACGATACTCTCTCGCCACCACTTACGGCAGTAGTATGCATAGCTGCGCTACAGGCTACAGAACCGAATCCAGAGGGCTTTTTTTGTGTACAGTCCAGGGCTTGCTTGTATTGTAGCGTTCCGGGGCTCTTAGGAAACCGTCGTGGTATATTATTGATGATGCTGTGAAACAAATTTCGTAGGCGAGATGGGAAGGGCCACCAGCCAGCAACGACGCCAACGTCAAAAAAAAAAACATCGCTGACCTGATGAGGCATGCATTGTAAGCCAACACAATGCTGTTCGGAGTAATGCAAGTGTCTGCGCCAGACGGAAAAAAACAACTCGTCAATACTGTACATACATACCAAGATGATGCGATATTGGTGGTGTGGTTGTCTGCACTACAATTAATTAGACTAGCGGTTCAGGTCTTTTTGCTCAGCCTTGGTGCCTTCACTACCCGTCGACATTCGCGGGAGGGAAAATAATACAGAATATGTAACCGCCACAAGTTGTGGGTTCTTAAGTCTTCTTTGACTGTCAAGAGGACTGAACGCGCGTGAGCTCAAACCCGGGCATTTGAGACAAAGAAAGAAGCAGCTCGCAACATATCAAAATAAGAAAACTTTCGTGAGGTATTAGGGAGGAGGTGTACATATAGTCGCGTAGCCAATGATATCTGGTAGCTATACCCCCCCCTACCGTAGTATTTATCGAGGATGAGTCAAGAATGAAAGACAAACAATGAATGGGACATATATCGCCGCAATCAATCACGGACGGACGCATCGGCATGCTCAAAAACCGTGGATTGTTGGTACGCTTGAGGTGCTGCTGTTCCTGCCTTCACGAAAGACAGACGCTGTTCACCAGCCACACCCAGTTTCGACTGTTTCTGGTAGTATGTACATACGTTACGCCCGCCCGCGCTTGCTCATCAAGCTGATCGATGGATTGTTCTGCACGCTCTGGTTGGTCCTGCTGTTGTTCCCGCCCTGAAACGGAAGAGAGAGGTTTCCGCCAACCGCAACAACAGCGTGCTCTTTGCCCGATTCTGTGACCCTAACCCTCACCGGTCCGAGACTAGGAAAAGAGTACCTACTTGCAGCTGTAGCAAGACAAGTAAGCTCAGGTTTCAATGGTTGCAAAGACTCCTGCGAGATCTGGCGATCGGTAGAGTTTGGACTCCATCGTGTTCCCAAAACTCAAAAACAGAAAAAGAAACAAACATAGGCAGATAGTACAAAGCACAGAAAAAAAAGAGGCAAACACTAAGAAAAATAAGGGCCACAAAGGAGACCGCTGCATTTCTCAAACACAAAGAAATAGCATATTATGTACCGAAAAGTGAACTGAGAAAAAAAGTTATAGGCTCATGAGGCGACACAAGACACAGAGCGAGAAAACACAAACGCGCCCCTTTTCTACAACCGGCCACAACACATGAAAAAAAACGCCCTAAATAGTTGCCTCTCCGACCAGCACCAGCGGGGTTTCTTCTGTACCACCGTCCCTTGCTTCGTATAAAACATGGGGCCAAAACATGCAGCGAAAGTTAACGTACAGAGTATCGTACCGTGAGCGCCCGGGACGTTCCACACATCTCAGTAGTCACCACGAAAAACGCACACATACATACCGGTTTCTACCGTACCGTCGTCATCACATAGTTCAAGTCATCATCTACAAAACAAGCCCGCGGAAATCATCGTCGTCTAAAGAAGCGCCCCCATTGCTTCAGCCCCCTCTCGCTCGCCGATCTATCCAAGCGATAACTCGCCGATCTATCCAAGCGATAACTCGCCGATCTATCCAAGCGATAACGATAACAAGCACACCAAACATGAACGAAAATAAAATAGAGACAGCGTAGGACCCCAAAAGAGCGGTAGCGTTGGTGGCGATGCCAGCGTCCATGTTGGAACTCCTCATCGCTCGACCACAACTTGACTCCAGCTTTCCACGTGCACGCCCTTTCAGGACCACTCCACAACACCGTCAAATAGTGAGTAGGCTTGGCTTTTCTCCCTCACAAGCTCTGCACGAACTCCACTTGCTTCACACGTACATCACCCATATACAGCACAATCCTACTGTACCCTGCTCCCTACTCCCTGCTACCGCAGACCCGTTAGCCACTCTTCTAACGGTTGCTAACCTCCCGTGGTTAACCCGTTGACTTAGAAAACCCAAAGTCGTGATTCTGCGGTATATACACACAGCAGTCAAACCCCACACCAAAAACAATAACATGGTATACTTGTTCCGCAACACAAACGGCTTAACTCAGCTCCTTGCGGAATTCCACGGGAAACAAGTGAAAACGGAATACCGCCTGCGCCGTTTTTCTCGTCAGAAGTCCATCCCATATACAAAATCAATCGAACACCCTCCCATCTCTGTGCCATTCAATCCCATTCCATCCCATCCAATCCCACCCCGTTCCGTCCCACTTCCAGAGCGCGTGGAATGAGACACCACTGCGCCGGGCCCGGCATTCCACAGCATTCCGTTCCTCATGGATGCGGCTAGCGGTCGATCCGGCGAACAACATCACGTACGTAAGCGTGCGGGCCGGGCAATAGAGTTGCATTCCACCCGTGTTACCCCCCCCTGCAGCGCTCAATCTTCCCTCCCTCCCTCCATCACGACACGACACGACAACAACTCACGGTATTCCACCTGACCAGGGGCCGACAAGAGCTTGATCAAGCCCCCTTGATATCACGCCCTACAGCGACTACTAAAAGTGGCGGCGAGATGGCACCCCCCCCAGACAAATCCTCGAAGCCCGATTGCTCCGGACACCACGTTCCCGTCGCCGCAACGGTTTGCGGCGTCTTTGTGGCGGAAGAGCATATCTATCGTCCTATGCTGGTTGTTGTTGTTGTCTTCACACTACAAACCGTTCCAATCTCGTTTCCCAGTACCGAAATTTGTCCGTACTATTTACTGGCTGTAGTCTAACACTTGACGCGGTCGATTCGCACGGTGTTGAGGGCAACACACCCGAAAAAGGGAGATATATACTAGAAAACAAATGGACCCGAAGGGTCCGCATAGATCACCAAAATAAGAAACGACGACCCTACAGAACCAATCGGAAAAACGAAAAAAAAATGACGGAACCACTTGACCCCCCTGTATGCATACCGACCCAAAGAAGAAAAGCCTAGGATCGCTACTAGTTACCCCGCTATATGCATATCAATCTAAAGAAAGAAAGCCTTACGTCGCTTTTTACCTCCATGTACCATTGCAAAGAAAATAATTGCCTTGACTCGCTAACAAGTTCCCCACCTAATACCAATGCAAATAAAAAAGGCCTTGAGTCGCTAGTTACCCCGCTATACCAATTCACAGAAAAAAAACTTTGTCGCAGTACCCCCCCTCCCGCCTTGTACCTATACACCCCCCGGTAACAGCAAGGATGACAACGACCAGCTTCTTCTGTTTCATCCTTGTGAAACGCGGATAGCTTGAGCCGTTGAAAATCCGGGTTGTCGCTCCTCCGTCCCGGCATAGTAAGGATGTGAGGTCAATGGTCTACCGACCACGGCATCCGTTAACAAAGGTACACGCGCCCCCCCCCGTACCAACACACAGAAAATAACGTCTCCCTCTATCTTGGAGACACGTTGGGTAACAAACACGGACGGAACCAAGTGACCGGCGACAAGGGCACCAGTTAACGTCTTCTCCCCCAGGTAACAATGAAAGGCGCGCTTCGCGTCTGGTGGTGTGAGAGCCTGGTCGGGTGAGAACCCGGCGTGCTCCATCTCGGCTTTGTGGGGATGCGAGGTCAATGGCGTAACGAATACGGCATGCACGACTATGAGTATGAGTACACCCCCCCCCCCCTCTCCCCCATGTAACAATGAAAATGAGATGGGGGGAGCGGGGTGGAGACATCTACCGTGCCACGTCCACGACGGCTACATCATGAACGACGGGATGTCACTCCCCGAAGCAGCACCACCCAACGGGGAATCGGCGGGCCCAACAGCCCCGGAACCGTCCCCGGAACCGCCCTCGGCGGCGGCGTGGGGGGGGAACCCGATGTTTCCCACTCCGAGGCCCCCCCCCGCCGGGTTGGCGATGGCCATCGACGCAGCGGTTGTCGTGGGGAATACGCCTGTTCCTGCGGCAGAGCTGGGTACAAGAAAACCGGCGGGGCCATGGAGCTGTTGCTGTTGCTGATGCTGATGGTGCTGTTGCAACCGCGGCACGCTTGCTGTCAGCTGCTGCTGCTGCCACTGCTGTTGCTGATGTTGGTACTGCTGCTCGAGCTTCACCGCCGGCGGCTCCCCGAGAAACGAGAAAGATTCCGCGGAACGAGCCGCGGCGGCGAAAGATCCTCCGACCGTTCCGATTGGCGCCGGGGTGACACCCCAGAGGCCGCCTACGGAATGCCTTGCTTCTGCTTCGCCATCGGGGAGGGGGGTGGGGGAGGTGCTATTGCTCGCGGGGCCCCCTGTGCCCTTCAAGGGTTGTTTCCCCTTCCGCTTCTTGGCCTATTAATAGGAGGTTCCGCGAGGGGGTGCGAGCGACGGTAGGGAAGGCGAGATATTGGTCAAGTACATCAAAATCATCGAAAGAAGGCACGCAAACTCGAGATATTGGCAAAATCTACCCCGGGTGATTTCCTTCAGAGTAGAATGAACACCTGGGTGCTCTTAAGGGCGAAAAGTGCCACGGGAGAGCTGCACATGGCTCTTAGTGAACGTAGTGATGTACCGTAGACAATAGCGAGACACTTGTCTTTTCCACCTGCAGCTACCATACCATACCAACTCAGCACCAACACCAAACCCTCTTCCCTTCGCCAAAACGCATTTTCCACAAGAGCACCGATAAACTACCGCCAGGAAACTCCACTTTTACTAAACCTCATCATCCACAAGACAAGAGCACGGAAAACCTGACGCCAGCAATCTCCACTCATCATCCACGAGGGCAGGGAAACTCAAGGCCACTTTTGCCAAACCTCGTTATCCACGAGAGCACGGATTAGCCAATGCCAACAAACTCCACTTTTGCTAAATGTCATCATGCACAAGAGCACGGGCAGCAACTAACGCCAGCAACTCCACTTGGCCGCACCTTCGCGGCTTCTCCGTCTCCCCCTTCCCCCGCGGTCGGACTTCCTGAGACAACAACCTCGAGGCTGTTCGGGTTGGTGCTGCTGTCGAGGCTATTCTGGGTGTGGTTGTCTATGTGCGCCTGTCTTCGACGTTGAGAAGCGTTGGCGTCTCTCGACAGCTTCATGTACTCGTTCTTGATCATGTTCTCGCTCCGGTCTGCGACAAAAAAAAAAAAAAATGAAGGTGTGATTGGTTTACGTTGGGGACGGGGGTGTGTACTCATATTAGTCGTGGCATGCCGTAGTCGCTCTTGATCATATTCTCGCTTCGGTCTGCGACAAAAGAAAAAAGGAAAAAAATGAAGGTGTGATTGTGATTGGTTTACGTTGGGGACGGGGGTGAGTGTGCTCATAGTCGTGCATGCCGTACGTTCTTGATTATGTTCTCGTTCTGGTCTGCGACACATACACACAAAAAACAGCGCGCGATTGGTGTACAGTAGTGGGGGGGGAGCGGTGTAGCGACCCCCTGGTTAGCGACATGCCTTGTTTGGCGACACAAAACCACGTCGTACCGCCGTACCCTGCTAGAAGTATACGATAGTAAGTTGGAGTAAGCGACCCGCCCTGAATATCGACCACATTTCGTTGCGATAGTAGGGGCAGCCAAACAAGCCCCCCCACTGCTGTACAATGTACGTTACGTTATTACTGTGGCAGTGAAGACGATCCCAAGCGACATACCGGTCCGTGAAAAGCGAAAAGAACGAAACGGGTGCGGCGGTAAAGATGATCAACGATCAAGGCGGGCAGAATTGATGTCGACACTTCTGCTTTCCTGGAAATTGTTTGGAACATTTCCCGGACCGGTCTTCATTTTGCAACAGCAGTATCTCCGTGCGCGAATATTCGTCCCCTATAGTACAGCGGCTTCACCTACTCCAACACCCTTCCAATACCAATTGGAAGGTTTGGTACCCCGTACTATATTCATTTCTTTTGTGGCTTGTCCTTAAGTAGAGGTGTGCTCCCGAATGCCGTGCTCACCGTTGAGGTAGCAGGCTAACATTAACACGAACGACCAGAAAAAACAAATATCGCCACCAAAAGCCGAACACATTTTATGCATATTGTACCAGCAACCAGGAAGCGCGGTCAACGGAAAACAGCAGATAGATGCTTAAATGATACTGCTGTAGGCGGGTTGAATCTTATCCCCACCACTCGCACTCGCACTGGAACGATCAGGGTGAGGGTTAGGGATAGCGACGTCCTTACCTTTGAGGTAGCGGGCGATCTCGGCCCACTTGTTGCCGACCTTGGCGTGCATGCTCAGCAGCAGCTGGTCTTCCTCCTTCGTCCACGGGCCGACGTTCAGCCCTTCCTTGAGGTAGTTGGTGTAGCGCTCGCGGCACTGCTTGTAGGTGCGCCCGCCCATGAGCTTGGCCACCTGTCTCACAACGACCAAGGTGGTGTTGTCATTGTCATTCATGAGTATCACACGAACTGCTGATGTCCAAGTTGGTAGAATGTCATCAGGAATATGACACAACGCTCTTCTATGCAAGTTGGTGGAATATCCTCAGGAATATCACACGTAGGGGCAGTTTCACAGTGCTTCTAACTGTCTCTGGAAGTGACAGCACCAGAAAATACATTCAGCCATACGCAGCTGTCATCCGTACGCAAGGAAGTACGCACAAGATGCCGAACACCCTTAAGCAGGATGCAGCGCACCCTTCATGCGACTCGCTGAATACCTCACGGCGCTTCGCGCTTGGTGATGTGAGAGCCTGGTCCGGTGAGAACCCGGCGTGCTCCGTCCCGGCTTTGTAGGGATGCGACCGTCAATGGTCTAACGACTATGGCAACTCACGTGGTTGCACTTGTACTCCATGGCAGCGGCAACCTCTCCTCAAGTTTTTGGTCCCTTTTCGTCAAAACGAACCGAATATATTGACTTGAATATACTCACGGTAAATCTAATACAACATGTAAGTATGTAATCATAGACTTAACGTTACTCGTACTATATCCTATACAATGAACAGGCAGGGTGGCAGCAATTCCAGTATTTTGTTTCGTGTGCCCCAAAAAATTCTCACGTGGCTCCACTTGTACTCCATGGCAGCGGCAACCTCCTTGAGCTTCTGGTCCTCCTCCTTCGTCCAAAGGCCCCTCTTCACGCCAGGGTTAAGGATGCGCTCCCACCTCATCTTGCACTGCGAGGGGGTCTTGCGGTTGGGATTTATCCCGCCGTCGGGGTAGGGGGTACCCCCCTCAGAGTCGCCGGGACCCCGGGGGCTGACCTCGCTCACCTTGGCGGCTACCCACTGCCAGTTCTTCCGGGAGTCTCCGGCTGCTTTCGGCATCCAGGCAAAGAATGAACAAAAAAATCGGAGAATGGAATAAAGTTGGTATACGGTTCATGGAAAAGAGAACCAACAACTTTGGTGGTGTTAATTGTCCAGGCGCGATGCAAGGTTCTGCATGCGATGGCACACGAGGTTCCGGCTGAGCTGGACGTATGTGAAACGGCAGAAGGAGGGAAAAAACAAGAAGGCTGGACACACAAGTTTCCACAGAAATTCGACACAAACGTTGATTGAAAGCCCGGGAGCGATCGAAGGTGCTGTATGGCACGATGTGCTGGTTGCATGCAGCATTCGTGAACCCAGAGAAAAAAAAGAAACAGAAGGGCTAAATTGTTGTGTACATTTACCAAAGGCAAACCAATCCAACAATTCAAACAAACGGTGATTAGTGACTACCGTAAATGACACAAGATAACACACCCCCTGGACCGATTTTCAAATATCGATTTCTCAACAGCAGAAAGAGTCACAGCGCCGAAAACGGTGGCATTGAAGCCGTCTCGTCGAGAGCTTTCCGAAAATGTGTTGTTTCATTTATGCATCCTCTTCGTCGTGGCGTAATCGAGCTTTGAAAATTAGTCCAGGGGGTGTGTTATCTCGTGTCATATACGGTACACCCAGGAGGGATCCAAGGTGCTGTATGCAAAGGCACGAGTTGTCGGCTGCGTTTTGCATCCACACAACAGAAATATTGCATGGTGATGCGCAAGGCAAGAAGCAAACAAACAAATCCACGTGGCTGTATAGCTTCTACAGTATTCGCGTACCTCCACGACTGCCGCTCGAGCCGGTCAGGAAGCCAAAAAAATATTGGATGACAAGTGTTCGGCGATGCTCTCGCACTATTTCCCGACAACATTCTTGCTTCCCATTATAACGGTGTCCCACCATCTCCCACATCTTGTCTACAGGAATATTCTCAGAACCTTCTTCGCTCCCCCACCATATCTCGAAGTCCTGTACTCCTTCTCTTCTAAATATCCTTGCCTCCATCTATTCCGGTGCCCCACCACCTCTTCCCAATATTTTCTCTAGTCTATGCTACCAGAATGTTACCAGAACCTTGTTTGTTCTTCACCGCATCTCGGAATTTTCTCTCAAATCGTTTTCTCAGAACATTCGTGTCTCTACTCTTTCCGGAGTTCCACCGCTTGTCAACACTTGAAATGTACAAGAATTTTTTCAGAAATTTCTTTTGGTTCTCGCCGCTCCGGTGCTCCACCACCTCTTCAAGTGTTGTACCCTTGATCAGCGTACAAGTAATGTTCTTGTCTCTACCCATTCCGGAGCTCCACCGCTTCTGTCAGAAATTCTTACTTACAATAATAGACTGTCTTTCTGTGTTTGTATTTTACTTTCCTCGGCATTTTCTAAGAAATTCATTTGGTTCTCACCGCTCCGGTGCTCCACCACCTCCCGAAGTCGATCGCTCTCCGCATCCGTCCACGTTCTCCTGCCATCCCTCGAGGTATCCTTCTCCTTCGAGCAAGACGTGTCGCTGCCGCCACCGTCTCCCCCCCCCCTTCGCGATTTCACGGCGCCCCTTCCCCTCCCCCTCGCCTTTGCCGCCTTCTTGGGGTGGTGCGATTTCCCGCCGGCGGTCGAGTCGACGCCGGACTCGTCTGAAGGGAGTCGAGAGGTCAGTTGCGGAGTGAACAAAAAAGAGGCGAACGCAATTTTGGCAACCCGATGTGAAAATTGGATTGGATGTACGGTAAAAGCCGGTCGCGCCGGTGGTCTAGTTGGTAGCCTCGTAACCTTCTAGAGGTCAGGTCAGGGGTTCGAATCCCGGCGTAGACGAGCTTTTCTTGCAAAGCGAGTTTTTCTCTCGCTTCCGCTCCTGGTCAGTGGATTGTAGCGCTAGTTCGTGTGTACACAAGGGAAGAGAGTGCTGAACTCTTCTCGCATTAAAAATTGAAGGCGAAGTACCGCAGGAGGGGAGGGTAGAGAGAGGCTCTTCTGTGTCACCACGGGTTGGAATAAACGGCAATAGTAGTGCTGTGGGCGCTGATTTGAAGTGAAGAAAAAAAAAAAAAAAAAAAAGAGCGCATGAATATATAGTGCCAGCTCCAACTGGCCTTTTTCTGTTTGATGCGCACAAAGGTGGAAAAATCAGCAATCGCGGTGGCAGGATGTACGCTTGGATTGTATGATGGATGGGAGAAGGTATCCACTGCTGTCCTCTTGCTTTGAGAATCATATCTGTGTGATCACCTGTCACAACATCAGTACCTACCTGTCGTGGAGTGGAGTAAGGCGAGGGGCGAAAACATTTCTTGTGAACACGCTTGGATTGGATTAAATGATTAAATGGATAGGGCCAGAGTTTACCTCTGTCTTATGGCCTTCAAATCGTCCTGCCTCCTCTCCTATCCCACCATCGTATCTATCGACTCTCTGTATGCATGTTTCCTACCAAAATATGCTATCTTCTCCTAGACTACTAGCCGTATGGAAACGAAGATAACGTATCGATTTTGATTTTGGTATCCCTGCCCCCGCCTTCTCTACGTCAATCTCTCATCTTCTCCATGGCCTGGTGGTCTCCCTGCCCCCGCCTCCCCTATCTCAATATCTCATCTCCCCTATGGCCTGTTGGTCTCCCTGCCCCCGCCGTCTCTATCTCACTCTCTCACCTTCCCTATCGTCCGTCGGAAGGGTGCTGCTAGGACCGGCGTCCTGCATGGCGACGCTATCTCGATCCCGATCATGGCCACCGTGACCACCAACACGACCATCCGCACCGTCACCGCCCACACCACTGCTGCCTCTGCTCATACGTAAACGACCAAGATCCGATTCGTGCACGAAAAAAAAGAGAAGAGCCAAGCGTTTTTGACTGCTCATACGTGTACGACAAAAGGTTCGATTCGTGCACCAAAAACAGCGTTTATGTATATTTTCCACGTGTCATCGCCACCGTTGGTTTTGTTTTTTTTACTTGAATATGGACTACAGTCGTTCCGTCGGTTAACGGCAGATATGGGTTTTCGTTTCAAAAGGTGTCCTTAAGCCGGGGAAGTGTCCATGGCCCTGATACCCCTCCTAATGTTCATTCTGCGGGGCACCTTGCCTGAAAAAAAAAAACCTTAACCGACGGACGATGGTATCATAAAAAGTAAGCCAAACGTGAACTCATTCCCTCTTAAGGATGATACTCCTCCTCATGTTCAATCTGCGGGGCACCTTGCCTGTGAAAAAAAAAAAAGTCCTTGGCCGGGGTAATGTCCTCAAAATGGTATCCTCAACCGGGGGACGACTGCACCACAGACTGAAGCTAAAAATACACTCATCCCCAACGATAGCTTTTGATTATTGGGGGGAATCGCACGCAAGAACCTCAAGTGGCCTACGCAAGAAAAAACAGAAAACACAAAACGCACTGCGGTATGAGAGTTTAATATGTCATCTTTGTCACGCGATGTACAGGGCGACGATCGTCGTCCCATTCAAAATAGTGAAGACAAGACAAGACAAGAGGAGAGGAGAGGAGATTATCTCAAAGAGTGGTTTATAAGGAGCGACAATATAGACAGCATCTACCGCGGCATGATGTTTTTTCGAAAGCGGTCAGGTCAACCCTGCGCGTGGACTAACGCGGCATGACTTTCTTCGGAAGCAGTCACGTCAACTCTGCGCATGGAGCGGGCTACACAAAAAACGGAAAACACTTTGTCTTCCTTGGTAAAATAGACCTGATGCTAACCCGACCTGCTTTACTTGGCCGAAAATAGGTTGGGACCAGGGGCAATCGCGTCTTGCCGCTGCTGCTGCTGCTGCTGCTGCTGCTGCTACTTCGAGGGGTTTCTCAGTGATTGTGTGAATATTCACAAATTATAGCAAAACATTTCGTCCACCTGTAGTCAAACCCTAGCGCAAACCCCACTTGCCTGCCTTGGGCGAAAAGAGGTGGCGACGAAGAATAAACCGCGTCTTGCTGTGCCTGCTGCTGCTGTCCTTGGCTCAAAGGCTCGTCAGGCTGGCTTCCCCAGAAATAGCTGCTCCCCGCCGACTCCTGAGAGCTGGGCATTGCCATCGAAGGCATAGGCGACGGTGTTTCCGCAGCTAGCCTTCCCATACCGTGCCCTACAAATAACCGTCCCACAGACAACAAAGAAAGGCGGGATGGAATGTCAGACAGGCGGCGAAAAAGTAACCGTCCCGAATTAAAAAAAAGAAAATGGAGTGGGCACGTCAGACAGGCGGCGAAAAAAGTAACCGTCCTGAAGAAAAAACAACCGCAACCGTCCCCGCGAACAAAAAAACAAAACTAGGGGAGTGGGAAAGTCAGCTAGATTTTGTTGAGTGAGCCACACCGGCACCGGAAGGAACGGCGAAACTTTCAAGCAGCGTACAGCATACGGAAGGCCCTAAATGAGATGTTTCCAGGTTTGGATGAGAGCTTGGAAGACGCACCTCGACCCAGTGCTACCTCAAGATGCTGTGCACAACAAACACGCATACGTTGCCGCTCGGCAACCACTCTAAGACTATTATTACTGTTGGCATCAGCTTACGTGGGCGTCCTTCCTACGCGGCCACTAGACTACCGCAAATGACGCAAGATAACACCCCCCCTGCACCGATTTTCTAGTATCGATTTCTCAACAACAGAAAGACTGACAGCACCGAAAAAGGTGGCGTTGAAGCTGTCTCGTCGAGAGCTTTCCGAAGATGTATCGTTTCGTTTACCTTATGCATCCTCTTCGTCGTGGCGTAATCGAGCTTTCGAAATCGGTCCAGGGGGTGTGTTATCTTGTGTCATATAGGATATCTCTACGTAGGATATAGCAAGCGGTTAGGGTCAGCATCTCACCACCAGCAGCAGCTGGAGAAGGAGCAGCCGCAGCCGCCGCAGCAGCAGCAGCAGCAGTTGAGGAGGCGGCAGCAGCTGCGGCGGCTGCGTCGGCGTGCGCGTGTTTCTTCTGGTGGTTTCGCGCCTTGTCCAGCTGGTTCGTCTGCAGGAAATGGACGGAGGACAAGGGAAATCGTTAGGTTTGGGTTGGCAAGGGCATATGTTGTGGCTGTCTAGCTAGTTAATCGGCCGGCCATGGACGAAGGACAAGGGCCCGCGTTAGGTGTGGGTTGGCATCGGCATATGTTGTGGCTGTCTAGATGCTTCGACTGCAGGCCATGGACGGAGGACAAGGGAAAGCGTTTGGCTTGGCGAGGGCTTATGTTGTGGCTGTCTAGCTAGTCAATCTGCCGGTCATGGACGGAGGACAAGGGAAGGCGTTAGAGATGGCTCAGGGCAGGGCATTATGTTGTGGCTGTTTGGTTGGTTGCCGCAAGCGAAAACGACAGGGACATTTCAGACATGGGAATAAGAGAGGCTGCGAAGAAGTGCCGGTGCAATGCGCAGGGACAGCTGAGTTACCGTAAATGACACAAGATAACACACCCCCTTGACCGATTTTCAAGGCTCGATTTATCAACAGCAGGAAGAGTCACAGCACCGTTAATAGCGGCGTTGGAACCGTCTGTTCGAGAGCTATTCGAAAAATGTATCGTTTCGTCTATGCATCATCTTCGTCGTGGAGTAATCGAGCTTCCAAAATCGGTCGAGGGGGTGTGTTATCTTGTGTCATATACGGTATGAGCTTCGCCGCTGACGATGCTGCTGTCTCTTGTACCGTCATGGAGGAGGGGAAAGCCACTTAGCACAAAAATGGAGCAGCTGGACCAAATCACAACCTGCATTGACTCGAGCGTTTCAATCTCAGGCGACATCGGCAACCGCATCGCCAAGGCACGAGAGCATCGTCAATGGATACATATTTAGGATCATCGATTCCACGTTCGAAAGCGCCATCAGTGCTTAGTAGCCTACTCGAGCAAGAGCGATCCCGCAGACAGCAGATCAAAAGCAGCACCAAAAACCACCCCCCACCGCAACTTTACCATCACCCACCTCGCCACCCCCGAACAGAAAAAAGTCTGACTTTCTTTGTCATCAACCCATACTACCCCCCAACGCCAAGCAGAACACACAAAAAAAAACGCACCTGAAACAGCCTTTGCCATCACCCCGACCAAAGCAAAAAATCAACTCACCTGGAAAAGAGGTCCGCTCACTCCCACCCACCATCACCCTCCTCAACACCACCGATAAAAGAAAAAAAATCTACAAAAAAAAACTCACCAACATCCCACCTCCACCAACAACAGAAAAAAACACGGTCGATAAATAATTCATGTAGACTAATTCACAACGTATGACGCGTGAGCGGTAGGGTTACACATAGACGCAGACCTGTGAGTAGTAGCACAGTAGTAGCACAGAAGAACAGAAAAACAGAGGCGTGGTGAGGGGTGGGGGTACACGGAGGAAGCGACTATTTTGTGAATACGGATAAGTACAGCAACCTACACAGCCGTTTAGTTGACAAACCAAAGACCTACACACAGAGCCTGTTTAAATTGATGTATACATTTTCAAGTCAATAAGCATTTTCCAACATCGGGCAGACGATAGGGACCTACTTACAGAGCCGGATTAAACTAGGGCATACATATTCAAGTCAAAAAGAATTTTCCAACATCGGGCAGCCGATATATCAACACCACCACCACCAAAGGAAAGAAAGAAACACATCGGAAACAACGGAGCCGAACAACATACCATCAATATTGGTAGCATCATCTATTCCATAATAGGAAACATGAGATGGAATGCACCCAGGCCACTCGATCATCATTCCCAGCATCAACGCTCATCACTCCCCCCCTCCGTCCCGGCTTTGTAGGGATGCGAGGTCAATGGTCAAACGGCTACGGCATGCACGGCTATGAGTACACCCCGCCCACCACCCGCCCCCTTCCGCCGTTGAACAGAAAAACGCACCTGAAAAAGGCGTCCCTTGAGCACCCCTCGAGTGTGCCTGCAGCCGCAGAGCGTGTGGAAGTGCCTACACCGCGACCTGTTCTCCTTGTCCTTGTCCTTCTCCTCCTCCCCTTCCTCCTTCAGTACCCCCGCACCCACCCCCCCACCCCCGCCCGCCGCCGCCGCCGCCGCTGCCGCCTTTCTAGCCTCCTTTCGCTCGAAAAAGGCCACCGTAAACGCGCAGTCCGGAAACGGACACGTCTCTCCTCGCTCCACCAGCTTCCACAGCGACGGGTTCAGGGTCATGGCGGCGATCGAACCAAGGGACGTTTGGGAACCATCCCCGGCGCTCCGAGGCGTGCTGGAGTTCGACGAGAGCACCGACAGCGGGGTAGACGATGCCGACGACGACGCCGAGCCCGGAGAGAGACGGTTCTTCCTGCCACCGGTACCGCCGCCGCCGCCGCCGCCGCTAGCCCTACCACCGGCACCGGTACCGTGGTCGCCCTTGGCCTTGGTGCCCGGCTTGTCGGTGTCAGAGGCGTTCTTGTTGGTAGCGGGGGTAGCGGGGAAGTCGTCCAGAGCGCAATTGCTCAGGATACCACCACCACCGCTTGCCTTGGCGGGTCGACTGCACGTGGGAAACGCAAACGTAGTTATCCCGGGGGGAAAGGGGGGGGGGGGGGGGGGGGTCCC